TTACGTGAATTTGCTGCTCTGAGTGTCCATAGCCATTACAGCAGTTCTGACTGTTCAACTGTTCTTGATATTACAGTGGACTAAAGAGGATGGACATAGAACTGCCACCTCTGCTGTCCCTAACCTGTTTGTTCCATTGAACACCAATCCAAAGGAGGTCCAAGAAATGAGGAACAAGGTTTGTAATAGCAGTAAAATAACTTTTTTTTGGTCATCAGTACAATTAAGTTGTGTACTTTTAATGGACTAACTTAGTTTGCTATAGTGAAATTTTGGGGCTTCAGAAACTCAGCTCTGGTGTTGTCCTGCCCCTTTATAACTAGATACTGAAACAAACCCTAAATATTCCGAACTCATCTTGGAAAAAGATGGTGTCACTCTCTACTACATGAAGACTTTTATTGTGTTATATTTTGTTACTGTCAGACCAGTTGCTGGATACCTCTGAAACAGCCACCACTGAATTTATCATAGAATCCTATAATGGTTTGTGTTGGAAGGGACCTTAAAGATCATCAGGTTCTGACACCCTTGCCATGAGCAGGGACACCTTCCACCAGCCCAGGGTGCTCCCAGCCCCGTCCAACCTGGCCTGGAACCCTTCCCAGGAGGGGGCAGCCACAGCTGCTCTGGGCAACCTGTAAACCTGGTAGTAATTCGGTTCATTGAGATCATAGTTTTACATCAGCGACCTGTTTTCCTGGTTTAGTTTCACCAGATGAAATTGTGGCCTAGACAAGTCTGTGGATCTCTCTCCATATTATATTTTATTGTATTTTAATATGCTGTGATTGTTGCAGAAATTTTTGGGGCCTCTGTAACTGCATGTTAATCTTTTTGAAATGACCTAGCAGTTAATTTTCCAGTCTTCAAATTTCAGACCTTGTCACCAGTTTACCAACAGAAAAGCATTGAATACATTGGGATTTTTTCCACCACATTTCTTTCAAAGTATAAAATATGTACTGCTATCTTGTTAATATTTAACTTGTTCTGGATTGTTTCGCTATTTCTGATGGCCATATGGAACATGGGAGTTAGCATTATGTCACAGGAAGGTCTACATGCAGGGGTGCTAGCAGAAATACTCATTTGTTCTAAAATAATTTGCGTGAGGTTGACAGAGGTTTTGCTTTTCCTGACTCAGGACTGTAAAATAGTAATCACCTGAAATGAGAAGTCTGAAATTGCCAAGCAGTTTTGTGGTGATTAAAACACAAATATTGTTTTATTAAAAACGTGAATTAAATAACTGAGAGAAGTAAAATTTCAGACTTTTTACTTCCTGATAAGGGTAGTAAACTAGAAACAAGTACAGGTGATGCAGGTTCTTCATACTTTCTGAAATACCAAATATTGATAATACCTTGTGTTTGTATACTCCTATGCATGTATTCATATATAATTGATTGTCCTTTTTAGTTGTAAAGTAGAGGTCTTTCTAAATGCATGCTTTTCTTAATTTATCTTGGAACAAGAACCAGAATATTTTAGAAATAAATTTTGAGTCAGATATTATGACTTCTTTACCACTGTATGATGTCTAATTTAAGTAGATAATACCTAGATTTCAAGACCCAGTTTCCATTCCCATCTTCTGTGCGGAAGGAACTGGGAGACATTAGGGATGCAACAAAACAGATGTGTTTGAGTACTCTGAAGTGTCAGTTTATGCATAGAAAAATATTTATATGCCCTTTCAAGAATATTGTCTTGACTAGATGCAAAAAATTAATGTTGTGCAGTGTTTTACATTAAGTTCTGTAGGAAGATGATACTGTGGTACAAATCAGTGACTAGTGGCTGGTGACAGAAACCTGTAAATGACAATAGACTTGTATAAATATGAGTTCTGTGCTTCTTTTCTCTCCTCAATTTTCTTCACAACTGAAATGTGAGGGAACAGACAGGAACCTGAGCACATATCTTCAAGTGGTGGTTATAATCACAGCTTTATTTGATGGGTAGGGCCATAGCAATCAACACTAGTTGCAGCCCATTGGCAGGTTCACCCACCCCTTTTTCAAATATGAGAATGTGGTTAATTTTCTCTGTTGCTCATGGGACTGTATTCTGCTGCTTTCCTTTACAGATCCGAGAGCAAAATTTGCAAGATATTAAAACTGCAGGCCCTCAATCACAGGTTCTTTCTGGGGTAGTTGTGGACAGGAGTCTTGTACAGGTGAGAGTGTAACATGCTTAAAACTGTTAGCTTAAAGTTAATCCACAGTATCCTCTGCTTTCACCTAATATATCACTATAAAATTATTCTTTAATTGGCAGAGAGTAACTGTTTATAAGGTAAGTCTTAGAGGTAACACCATTGTCTTTGCGAGAGTGCTCAGGGTCAGAAATTTAAGAGGCTTCAGCCATGTAGCCCAAGCATGTCTGTGGAGGATGCTTCTTGTTTTTTTTGCTGAATGTAATGCATGAAATTCATACGGCATATTTATATGGGTTAGATTCTTTTTCAAAACTAGTTGGGCTGTGTGACAACTTTTTGTTTGTTTGTTTTCCAAGTTTATGTATCTTGAAGCATTAATACTGGGCAGAGCAGGCTCACTATGGGGCAGTAGTGTTGTATGTTAAATATGTTTTATCATGCTTAATAATATTTTATTTGAAGGGCAGTTTGGAAAAAAAAAGCTATTAATCAGTAAAACTTTAAAGCGGTATATTTGGATATACAAAAGACTTCACGAATCATAGCTCAAAGTGAAGAATTAGAGCTATGCAGTTATACTGTGTAGCTGAATGACTTCAAAGCTCTATATATCCGAGTGCTTTAACTGCCCCAGATAAGTATTTTCTGATATACTTTAGAAAGTTTGGCGAGTCTTATCATGACCATAGCATTATTCATGTTGGGTGTCTTATTGTGTGCATGTCAATTCATTGTCATCTGCAATTTTATCTACCAGTTACTGTTTCTTTGCATGTTTTTAGCAAGCATCATAATGCGCTTGGTTGATGTTTTACAGCCTGGGCTCGGTTTGCTCTGTTTACTCAATTTACTGTTGCAGGATGCTCCCCTCTCAGACTGTACGGAATCTATTGAAGGGCTCGATCTCACAGAGCAGGCCTTTAGTCCCGCTAAATCTCTGTCTGTTAGAAAGGTACTGCCCTGTCATACTGCTCTAAATACTGTTGTTCACCCTTCATTTTACCTCGTCCTTACCCTGACCTTTTCTCTCTGTTAGCTAATGATTTGGATAGGAAAAAAAAAAGATGGATCTCCAAATTATGTATATACATCTAGACATGTAGTTACTTTACCCTGTTAAAGTATCTTTTAAGGTATCTTAATGTTAAAGTATCTTTGTCTGTAGAATCTGGTGAGGAAACACTTTTGATGTTAAGGTGCTGATTAGGTTCTGCATATAGCAGGCTTCTTTGTGCATGCTATTAGTGTTGAATTACTCTAATTTGAGATCCATTTTGAGATAGCTTAATCTCAGCCTGATTACATCAGTGTAATTCCAAAGATATCCACATGTTCAGAGTGTGTCATGCTGACAAACTGTCATTTTTTGATCCTCCGTTGCTAGAAATCTTGTTTCCTTAAAACTTCCTGTGGTTATCTACAAGAGTTGCTGAGTAATGCCCCACACTTCCAGAATCAATTGGCTTTCAAACATGTAATATGCTTTAAATACAGAATAAATTCAAGAGATGCATGTATGGTTGGGGTGGGTAGTCCTTTGAGGTTGAGTAAACAGGAACAGCTAGCACATTAGTAACAGTCTGTCCTTAGCTGTCTTTCTCTCCCAGGTTTTGAAGGCGTTTCTTAGAGGTGATGTAACATGAACACACAGTGTGTAAATAAGCATCAGTGTCTCTTCTGCTCCAGTATTTTATCTAAAAGATTCTTAAACCTTGGTTTAGGTCGTGCCTAATATCTCATTATCAGAATAGCTTTCCTATCAGAAAACAGAATACTTTGAATTACATCATTGTTGCAAATCTCATGACTTTACAACACTTCGTAGTGTAATGAGCCAGTTTGTATTATACATTGTTGTATCATGCTGAGAATTTGACAATGATGTTTTTCAGATTTCAGAATATGGATAAAACAAACTGTAAAGAAAAATAATAAAACACTATTTCCAGATTTAAAGTGAAAAATAAAACAAAGCCCAATTCTTCCAGGCACTGCATGCCTTTTATTTTCTGCTTATTACTACCTTCAAAGTGAAAAATTATTTTTATGATAATCATCCATTTGTTATCACAACACAGGTAGTTTCTTTCATCACTGATGTGCAAGGTATCTTTCAAGTATTATTTTTGAATAATGGCATCATCTTTCTATAAAAGTAGTCAAATATTTTACATGCAAATTTGTAGATGGCAAGGAGCCAACAAAAGATCTATTGTTATATGGGTTTGCCTAGTAGTATAATGCTAGGGTTTAGATGTCCAAATATGTTTCCTTTTTGTGGTGTCATGAAAATGCTTTCCCTCTGAAATACTATGTAAAATTAGATCACAATGTTAATTACAGTAGGAGTGGTCTTTTTCGTAATCTTATCCTAATATGGACTGTGATCTGAATCCTGAATGCTTAATAATTTCTGGGAGGGGGGGTTGGGGGGTAGGAGGAGAACAACAAAAAAGGCAATCTAGAAATATTACACCAAAAATCCATGGTGTATAGTGGAACAAAGGAAGTATAAGGAATCTTATGATGCCCATGTAAACCTTACGTGAAACTTTGAGGAGACTTGTACATCAAGGACTTTTAAGTACCAGATAATTACAAGTTCTGAGTTGACAAATTCTTTGACACTCAATTATGGTTAAAGTAAAAAGTTTAATCTGATTGTAGTAACGCTTTAAATGTATTATGTTTTCAGTTAACATGAGATTTATATAAAATACTGATGCACACTATTTTGGATTAAAAAAATCCTGTACAGTATGCATGTAATGCTTTGAGTCTTCTGTGCCTATGGCTGCAGTAGCAAATACTCCATTTTGCCTTGTCTCTTGCTTTGTCCATGTTCTGAGAAGTCCTTGCCATGTTGCAACACAAGCTCCTTGTGCATCATGTAATTTTATTCAAGTTATAGACTTGGATAACCAAGCTTCTGCTGCAGTCTTGGCTGAATGAGAGGGAATGCTGGTTATTCTTACAAATGACCATTCTGCAATCTGATTTAAAAAAAAAAAATCACAAGAATTTTCAAGAATTTTAAGTGAAAGGGGAGTCATCCATTTTGTGTCTCTTCCTTTAGAATTGAATTTCTGTGGCTTTGTTTTTCATGAAGAGCCTCTCAGTTCTGCCCCAGGGATGGCACTGTGTTTTAGTGGCCACTTCTGCATGAACAGTACTTTAACAATCTTGGTTTTTTGGATGAAGGCACTGCATTAATGCGAGATTGTGCTAAAAGTGATTGTTAACTTTAGACTATTATGAACCTACTGTCTGAGAGAAAAATTGGCATATTGATCCCTGAGAACAAGATGAAGTGCTTGCCTGTTAAATGATGGTCACCTTATAGCAGTTTTGAATTTTTCTCTGAAATCAAGATTTGGTGGAAAAGTTGCAAAATGACTTGCTAATCTAAAATTTCCTTGTAGGATACGTGAGGTCCAAGCTTAGTATGAAGGTATATTGTGTATCATTAGCTCTAAATTACTTTCCCTTTGAATCTTTGTGGGAGAGTATGCCCCTACAAAATCCTCAGGAGTGAAGATATATTCTGTTCATGAATGTAATCTGTCCATTATTTCTTACAGTGGAGAAAATGCTGTTGATATTCAGGTGCTTGCTTACACATGCAATCAAGCTTCAAATAGTCATCAAGATAGTACTAAGATCATCATCAAAATAATACTAGTATCAGCACAATCCAGATGAAATCACTAGAACATTAGTTTTTTGCTTGTCATCCTGTGTTGAAACAGTGCCAGTCTTTCGTATAGGAATGAACTCCCTCTTTACAGCCTTTCTAATACTGGAAGCAACTCCAGACCAATTTTTTTGTTATTTTTTTTTCTGAATGTTTGTAGGAATCTCCAAATGGCCTGGAGAGGGTGATAGCCCTATCGAGTCTATTTTAGTGTCGTATTTAACATCTAAAATATATCCTGTATTGACTTTTTAGACCTTGGTACTCGTTTTCATTCTGTGTTATGTTACTCTCTTCATCTTGTGTTGTATATTTTTGTTTGAATTCTTGGAAGGCTGCTCTGTGGCCTGTTCTGTGAAGTAATGAATCTCTCCTTCTACGATTTGTACATGGTTTAGAGTAGTCATGTGTCAGAACTTACTAACATACTATAATTTATTTTCCCCATAGAATAAGTCCCTCTTCCTTTATTTTCATAGTGGCCTTTGAACTGCTTCCATATTACTGATACTGAGCAAAACTGGATGTGTTAATCTGGGAACAGCTTTTAGCAGATCAAAGGTTTGCCTTTCTGGTCTTGTAATTTTTCTGCTTTTACAGTCCAAAAAACACAAGTGCTTTTTCTTTGTAATCCATAATCCACTTACTGTCGTTGCCTCTGATCTTTTTCAGTATTGTTTCTCTTGGGTCAAAGATACTCAGCCTAGTACAAATACTGTTTGCATTGATTGTGGGTGTGGGTTTTGTGTGTTTGGTTTTGGTTTGTTTTTTTTTTTTTAGTTTAGTAAATGTGATAAACTTGATGCACTGCATTTATTCCCAGTAGTTAACAAAGGTACTCTCTTAAAGAGAATACCTAATGCCACTGCACTAGTCATATTGCTGCAAACTCTGTGTCTTGCTGCTTGTCTCATTATTAAATCAACAGACATTCTGTAAAGTTATGTTTCATGTGCAAGTTGTTCTACCCAGTCATTTTGCATGGAACTTGCAGACAGGAATCAAAGATTCTTTAGCATTCCAGAGATACCAGTGTGCACTGTATGTCTTGTTCCTCTGTTGACTTTTGTAATCCTAGAAAACTCTCGAAACTCTGCCTGAGATCAGTGCTTTACAAGCCCCTGCTACTAACTGCTGAGTTTCAGTTAAAACTATGTATTTAGTTTGAAAAGTGGGCAGGTATAGAGGGGAATATAAAATGACTATGGGCACCAGTTTTCTGCCATCATTAAACACCGGGAACTGTAGTTTTGGGGGTGTTTTACATTATCTACAAAACAATTAGGATCTGTATGAAGGTTGATGCTTTTGTGGCATTATTTCTGCACTATCCTGTAAGAAAAGCCATGTCTATCAAATCGGAGGTTTTCTGATATTAAGACAGCTGGTGCTTAGTGGAAATAGTTGAGAAAAGGCTTTTGACGTTCTATTGACATTCTGTATCTGAGATGAGAGTGCCTCTTATTTTATGGAGAAACTGAGGCGATCTGTAATGTTTTAAGAGATGATTCTTTCCTGCACTTCCTTTCAGGATCTTACAGTGGATACTCGTTACCCGGTTTGTTCCTCAGTACTTCTGGCTGGTGTTTTCTTCCTGAAGAGCAGCCACTTGTTCTTACCTCCTTGGATTGCTCTAGACCAGATTTCTGGAGATCTTTCATGAGACTTCCAGAAATCCTGAACTGCTCTTGTCCTCATTCCATCTAGACGTTCTTGTCTGTCCCCTTTTTGGTGCTGACTTGTCCAGAGCAACTCTTGGCATCCCAAACAGTACTTTGCCTAATGTCATCTTCAGTTTTACCGGAAAGATCTCATGCTTGTCCAGCAAGTATGGACATGGAATGGAATGTCTCTTTGTTTGGGTGCTACTTATTTTTGAACTGTACTTTCTAATGCTTTCTTTTAAGTATTGGTACAAATAACACTTGAATATGAAGATGACTTGTGCCAATCAATAACCCATACTTATTTGGTAATGGCATTCAAATGCCTCTTTTCAACAACAAAGACAATTCAGGTATCACAGTAACATGAGGCACAGACCACACATCAGTCATTTCCAAACTAGTGTCAGTAGAGTTCTGTATGTCCAATATAAAAAACAGATGCTTAAACAAGTCATTGGGGAGGTACAGCAGCTATCCAGGCAAGCAACTTCCATATCCGAGACAATGAAAAGCCAATGGCTTTCGCCTTTACTATATGATTAGAGAAGAAAAACTAAAAACCTTAGCATTAGAGAATATCTGATGCAGCTGCTTTTGTCCATTGGAGTTTACTGTACTTAGAATTGCTAATGTTTTATTTTATTTGTATAACTTTTTATCTGGCTTGTATGACAAATGTTAGAGATGTAAATATGCTAACTTGTTTAAGATTACAGTTAAACCTTAATTACTTAAAAAGTATAATAAACTGTTATTCCGGTGTACACAGAACAAATACAAGGTGGCTTTTTACAACAACATTTGTTAGATGTTACATAGTAGCCTCTAGAAATGTGTTTTCCCTTATTAAAACAAGCAAAGAAAAAAAAAAATCAACACCACTACCATCCACTCCCCTTCCTGCCCACCCCCCCCCCAAAAAAAAAACCAAACCAAACAAAAACAAAAAATCAAACTAAACCCACAAACAAAAATGTTGGAACTGAGTCATGTGAACTTGTACAGGTATTCTGTGCCCAGATTGCCGTGTAGTTGGGCCTGGTATCCTGTTTCTTGTGTGTGGGGAGAAAAAGCAACTTGATACTTCTGTGACTTCAGGTGTAGTTCAGCTAGACTGTTTGGCTGCCGTTTGATTTACTGCTTAGTGGTGGATATTCCCTGGTGGAAACACTGATGTGTCTGCAAGAGTGATTAATGAGACCTGTTTTCTCCTTACTGTTAACATGCTGTTGATTAAATGGTTTTCTAAAAAACTCTAATAGCTTGTTGGGTTTTTGTAATCTAAAAGAAAATAAACGTACCATTTTTCAGAGTATCTTTTTGTTTTGTTTTTGATTGCGCTGAACTTCTCGATTGCAGATGTATCTTTCTTTTCTTTTGTTAGGGAGAACTGGTGACTGCATCAAAGGCAATAATTGAGAAAGAATATCAACCAAAAGTCATAGTGAGCACAACAGGACCAAATCCCTTCAATAAACTTACTGATCGAGAACTGGAAGAATATCGCAAAGAAGTAGAAAGAAAGCAGAAGGGACCAGAAGGTTGGTTTCTCTGTGTGTGTTTTTTCTGCAGTAGACTACAAAACCAGCAAGTTTATTACTGATTGGAAGGTGGGTTACCTGCAGGGGCCATGGATACATTATTCAGCTTTTGTGTGTTTCAGTTTTTCCAGTGTGAATTAAAAATTTAAAAAGCATGTTGGAGATAGAATGTGCGATTTAAGTGTCAATGGAGTATTCTGTAAAATGCATAGGTCTTATTTTTAAAATTATCCTAGTAGATGAACTAGGGTGCTTAGTATGGCCAGTTACTGCTGCTGTTAGGAAGTTGAAAGCTTGAAACTTCAGTCAAAATAATTTTTCAGTACTGCAAAGTATTTCAGATTGTTCTACTTCATTTCCCTTAGGGCTAGAGATAGTTGAGGGTGAGAGAATGGTGTTACTTTTTGGCAGCTAAACTGCAGTTTTCTAACTCACTGGAAATTGTGGATTTGAGAGATCCGTTGAATGGGGAAAATACTGAACAGCATTGATTGCTATGGGGAAATGGCACATCTTGGGGACTTTCCCCAAAACAGACTTTCTAAATTATCATAGAATTATGAGGGGATTGTGCTATAGAGATCGTTTCTGCATTTTGAAGTGATTTTCCTGCTTTACTTCTGTATAGTTTTGAGGGGTGATACTTACGGTGCTTGTCTGCTGTTAGGTTTTGAATTTGAGTGACGCAGGAACCAGAAGTGCCATCTCTTTTCAGTGGGTACTCCCAGCTTCTGTTTTTTGATAGGACAATGTAGGAGCTGTTGTCGATGTCTCTGTTCAGTTAATCAAGTACGGGACTGTGTTGGGTGGGATACTCTGCTGCTATGCCTGTATAACTGCATACGTTTATTCTCTCAGTAACATTGCTACATCCTTCATAGATAAGATATCAAAATATGGAGAGACTGTGTTACTGAGGCAGACACCAGCTGGGGAACAGAGTACATTGCTTAGAAATCAGCCCATTAGTGAGCAAAAAATGTCAGATAAAAAAATCTCTGGATTTGAAAGGCAGATCAAAAACCTTTCAAGGAACAGATATGAAGACTACAGGATCGTGACGTATCATCACTGTCTAAATCTTTAGATAACACTCAGTTTGCTGCATGGGTTTCTTGTCAGACCGCGCAGCAAGTCATCACACATCTTAACCGAGAAGAGCCAGATGGGCAGAAGTCCTCCCATAAAGAATTTCATACTGCAGTGATCAAAGCATTAAGGTCCAATCCTGACCTTTTGGCTGAGGCCTCAGGTATTACTAACATGGTACAGTTGCGCTTGTGATCTGAGGAGCAACCTCTTTATCTACACCATTTGTAGATTCTGTCAGTTGACTCTCGTCTGTGGGACTGATTTCACTTTTAATTGTGTAGGTGAACTGTACGGAGCAATGTTTTAATATTGTTCCAGATACACGGTGTACTCCATTAATGTTTTCCTTTGGATCTAGGGCTGTTTAAACCTGGAAGCAAGGGGAACCCTCCTTACTAATAACAAACGCACAGGCCACTGTGAAATCTGTTTTGAATCATTTAATTACTGCATGTTTCTCTGATTATCTGTGCAGTCTTCTCTTCTTTTGGGGTGCAATTTTGTTTACTCCAAGTTTCAGCAATACAAAGCAAGCAAAAGTGTTACCTTCTGTAGGTCTGATAGCATTTCCCCACAGCTCCCCCACCCCCATATTTATTTATATCTTCCTGGTGGTATTTTCTGTAGAACAGTGTGATAAACCAATTCGTAAACAATTACATTATTCATGCCCTTTTATGGAGAGAAAAAAAAACAAAACAAAACAAAAAACCAGCAAACCCAACAAAACAAACCAAAAAAAAAACCAAAACCAAAAACCACCATGCAACAGCACAACTGTGAATTGTATTTGTTAATATCAAACTATCACTTGATTTTCTTTTGCTTGTTTTGGTATTATTTAATATCTTGGCAGAATTTTGATTCAGAAAAACATATTCGTATCTTGTGTGCATGGAGCAAAAGAACACTTTTGTTTTCTCACATGCTGAAAGGTTTTGTTTGCCTTCTAAATTTCTCTTTGTCTACATCCGCAGAACCTTCCGAAGATGGCAGGCAACAGAAAGAGAGAAGTCCCCCTGACCACACTTCAGCGCGCACTCCTCCCAGTACGCCGATTAAAATAGAGGAAGGTATGTTGTTCTGATTTGGGGCCAGGGGAAACCAGTAACTGCATCATTAGTGACTGACGCATGAAAATATATGAACTAGTATCTAATAAAGGTAAATTATTTCCTTGTATTTTATACTACCTAAAAGATACTACACTGAACTATGAGTGTAAGAGGAATTATGTTTACAATAATAAAGAAGTGTGCATTAATATAAAGGCAGATTTTCATCTCTTCAGAGTTGCCTTGTCATCTCTCAGTGTTTCTCAACTGTGTATTTCCTGCGAGAAAGAATTGCTGTTATGAAATGGTGTCTGTTGGTGAACCAGACACAAATTTAGATGCTTTGGTAAATCTCCTTCACTGATTGCACATTTCTTAAACATTATTGTACTTGGATTACACCTCAGTAAATACTTATTCCAACTCAATTTGAATCTAGATATTATTATTTGCTCACCTTGTGTAGTAGTTTTAACTAAAATGAGAGCAGGGCTGGTAAAGTCTACAATTTCCTCAAAAAAAAGATAAAATAACAATCTTGAACAGGTGTAATCTAATTTTTGTCTTGTTTCCTTTACCTTGTACATTGGATATATCACTTGTCTGTTAGTCTTCCATTCACTACTTCATCTCATTCCGTTTTCTATAAGAATGGTTGCAACCATTCTTCTAACTTAACACAATGGCTGTGATGAATGCATAGATTCTCTACTTGTGCTTTTTTCTTCTTGTGGCTGCGTTACAAACAGGAGATGGATATGCTAAAGAGTACCTGTTACCATAGTAAGTATCATTCCATACTCTGACCTGCTTATGTGCTTTGCTTCACTCTTGCATCTTCGTTTACTAAGGGTTTTTTTGTTTTGCCTTTTTTTTTTTTTATAGCAGGCTTTTTCAGTTGAGACAGATTTCTTTAGTTGTTTTCATGAAATTCTAGGTAGTTACAGATCTTGCGTTAAAATGCACTCCCCCTTTGAAAGAGACTGCAAAAGTGACATTATGTGTTTCCATATCTGTGTGTCTGATTCCTCAGTTGAAAAAAGAATAGTCTGAAGTTGTCTTACAGATAATAGCTGGAACAGATCTGAGAGTTTCTGCCCCAAGTTGGCTGCTGCCTACGCAACTTGGACCCTGTAATGAAGTGCAAGTTCCTAATCTCTTCCAGTGCAAAAGTGTTACCACTGACATTGCTTTACACTTACCCAGCAGACTTCTGCACAGAAGTGGATATGGAACTGCTCCGACGTTATATGTGTCAGCTGTAGGGAAATGCAAATTCCAACCAAGGAACAACAGCAAGTACTTGGTGGCAGCAACTTCTACAGCTGTTTTGGCTAGATCTGCAGGGCTATATCAGATTATACTTTAAAGTAATAAAGATGTTTGGCCCCCTCCATTCGTATGTCCTGTTATATCCAAAAGTCAGTGTATTTGTCATAAATATGAAAGTCAGAACTACATCGTAGACACCTGTGATGTTACTAATAAAGTTCTAAAACCTGAAAATTCTTTTAAACTGAGAATTGTTCCATGAACTCTTCTAGTTGTATGAGTTTTCCAGGACAAACATACAAAGCTTATTTTAGAGAGTAACTGGAAGTTCATGCCATGACAACTTTGGCAGAAGTTCTGCTGAATGATGGTGTTTTCTGTATACAGCAGCTTCTCAACTTTTTTCCTCATATTGTTTCTATTTAAGTGTAGCTGAAGTCAGAAAAGTGTTTTGTGTTAACTCAGTTGTAGCCTAGTTTGTATGTTTGTCCATGTTTGTGTTGAAAAAAGCATAAACCTTTATTTTCATAAATAATGTGAATTGTACATGCACCAGTATTAATGTTGCTTTTCAAACTCCTATGCCACAGTATATATAAAGGGAGAGCATGGATATGGACATGATCATTGTAAGAAAAATTAAGGAATTTTGAGGGACTGCTGCGTTCCTAAACTGTAAATAGGTTTTGTAGCAAGATATATTTTTAAACCTTCCTAGTCACGTTACTGAAATCCATCAGGTAGAATAGCAAGGCATTTATGTATTGTATGCTTTATTTATTGAATGTGGAATTTGTAAATCTCCCTAATTCGAGTAAAATACTGCCCTTAGCAAGCTAGATAAACAGATGTTTGTTTGATTCCAGCATAATGTTAATCCATTTAGTAAAGATTATGGTAATTTGGCAAACTGGGAAGGATAGCAGTTCTGGATTAATGAGTTATAAAACTGCTTATATTCATCCACTGCTTAGTCCAACTGGCAAATGCTGTTTGAATGCCTGTAGCTTCCTGTTCTTTAGCTTTAATAATTTCTAATTCCTTTTTAAAAATTTTGTTTAAAACTCTCTTTTAAACTTCTTTTAAAAATAAAAAATAAAATTGACTGACAATCTAATATGGTGCCTGTTCTAAAAATTGGGCCATGCTAATGAATGGAATAGAATATTTTCAGTTGGAAGGGACCTACAAGGACCATCTAGTCCAACGGCCTGACCACTTCAGGGCTGACCACAAGTTAAAACATGTTGTTACGGGCATTGTCCGAGCACCTCTCAAGCACTGCCAGGCTTGGGGCACCCACCACCTCTCTAGGAAGCCTGTGCCAGTGTTTGACCACCCTCTCGGTGAAGAAATGCTTCCTCATGTCCAGTCTGAACCTCCCCTGGCACAGCTTTGAACCATCCCCACGTGTCCTGTCACTGGATCCCAGACGGAAGAGCTCAGCAATGCTGTCAGTTAATTCCTGAAAAGTGAAATGAAATCCAGAAAGAGTGTAGTGGTAGTGAAGAATTGTAGGTGGTGCTTCTTACAAATTTGTGTGTCTCACATACACACAGGATAAACTAGAGCTTCAGGAGGCAACTTGTAAATGCACAGAACTGCTTTCTCTTTTTTACTCTGTTTTAAATCCTGCCTGCATTATAACTTTTAAACTGCTAACTTGTGCATTCTGAGTGTTTGGCACTGGATACTAGTGTGTTTTGTTTATTTAACCTATTAGAAGTTCATGGTGTGCTAGGCAAAACATGTTGGTTTTCTAGCAGGTATTCAGAGCCCTCTCAAATATATTAGAGTATTAATCCCATCTGCCAGAAACAAAAAGAACGCTCATTCTCATTTCCATAGGAAAAATGGGAAAGTATCAAGTATTTTCTGTAAGTTCTTGTGAAAGCCTTCAGTCTTTTCAAATGAAAATGAACAAGATTTTCAAAGGGGAAAAAATAGTTTCCCTTCTTTTGTGCCTTACAATCGGTATGGCCTGGATTTTCTTCTAAATTCCTCCTTAGGTAACATCAATGGGGATGTATTTGGCACAGCTGACGAGGTACTTCTCTGCTACAGTGCAGAGATGAACATCGCAGGGAACTTCAAAAGTGCTCGTTGTTAATACGTACACACAAAGAGGAGCTTTAAACAGAACATCTCTATGGAGTAGTGGTGAGGAAGGTGTTACAATGGAGGGGAGTAGTGGTTCGCCTTTGGACCCAGAGTTATCACTAGATTTTTTGATGTTCCTTTATACTGGGGTGAGATTTGCTGTTAGAAGTCGCATACATTTTTTTTAAATAAAAATGTATTGCATAACCTGCTGAGCTCATTTAATTTGATAAACTACATGGATTTTACTTATACGAATCCATAATATATACTCATAGCTTGCAAAAGAAGTGAAGCCTTTGTGATAGGAAATCATATTCTGAAGCAACAGCTGTTAAATCTCATGCAACAATATTATGAAAATCCAGGCATTATGGTTAAAAATTGACAAGCCAACTGTTTGGAAATTAATGGATTTGCGTGTATCAGATCACTGCAAACCAGCAATTAGTTTTATCCTACCAAAAGAAAAAAGAATCAAGATACGGAATTTCATTATGCTCTCTTCAATGCCAAGGAAAACTAGGTTTAATTCCTGCTTACTGCACTAAAAGCTCATGTCGCTTGCAAATTTTGCAAATAAAACACGAGAGGAGTCTGAACAGTCCCTTTCTTGATGGTTTACACACCCAGGATGGAATTCAGCTTTGTCTGTTCTGTGGTAAGAAGCTTAAAACCAAACAAAACTTTTGAATCTCTGATTTCGATCTCTGTGCCCAAAGCTAAAGGAGAACAGACCTATTACAAAGGCTTTTATGCAAAAGAAATCTATTAATTTTTTTATAGAGCGCGCTCACCATCAACTTGCTTCGCGTCCTCTGTTGGGGGGACACTTACGTAAACTAACAGTGTCCCTGTCTGTCCGTCCACTAGAGACACAGCAGGACCAGACCTACAAAGATGACAGTGATGCTGCAACTTTCAAGCAAACCCTCCCAGATCTCACCCCCGACGAGCCTTCAGAAGCACTCAGCTTCCCTCCCTTAGGAAAGGAGGAAGGGAGATGTGATGAAGATGTGCCCAAAAGCCAAACGGAATCACCCGCAGTGGAAACTAAGGAACCCCCGTCTCACCCCGCTGAAGAGCCGGTAACACCAACCGCTGAGGAAGGGACAGCCGCTGATGCGGGCAGTGATGAGTCTCCAGGGAAGTCCCCATCGAAAAAGAAAAAGAAGTTTCGCACTCCTTCCTTCCTGAAGAAGAGCAAAAAGAAGAGTGACTCCTAAAGGCCAAACACACCGCAGAAACACTGTCATATTTTAAAATCCATTAACCACTAGAATGTACCAGATCGTACCGAGTGTTTTGTCTTATTATGTAAATGAATGCAACACGTAATCCAGCCAGCCCCTCGAGCCATGGCTTAATTGTTTAAGGTTATAACCAGAAACTAGCGTCCAAAAAGGTGCTAATCCTGTGTATTCAGCAGCTACCACAGATCTTGATCCCTAATTTGTAATCGAACCTGGATGACTTCCATGAGGGAGGCACCGAATCGTTATTTTCAATTTAAAGCCCGCACTGCTTTACTAAAAAATTTTCACAATTAAAAATACAAGACACCTTGCGTACTGTAAGAAGCGTTCTCTTCCCATGTGCTGTTCCAAGTCACAAGTAAATTTCTTCTTAAATCTTGACTTTTAGAGAGGATGCTTTTGCAGTGGTGTTTGCAAGAGGGATGTATTCTTGAACTGACATGTAAAATTCTGCGAGCTTGTGATCACCGGCTGTTTGAGTTGAGCTTTGGAGCTATCCATTCCTTCCTCTCTTTCCTCCCTCTGACTGTTGTAACAAAATTAAGGTATTTCTCACTTTGATTTATTTTAGGACGGGCACGTAAAATCATCTTTGATGTCTAGGACTGAAATAACCGTGGTGTGTTCCACTCATGTTGTGCATTGAAAGAGCCCAATCTTTCTTTGGTTTTTTGTTGTCTTTTTTTTTTTTTTTAGTGAATACTGTTTAAGGGAAATCTGTCAGTCTCACCTCCCTAAGAATCAGTTCAGGTGGTAATTTGGCTCTTAGAAAAGGTTAAAAAGTAACTATTAAAAGTATCTCAGAAGTTTTTCTGCTGGCGGTGTGAAGCATGGGCAGTTGCATTTTGGGCCTCAGCACGGGGTTTTTTCACCCTTTTAAACATCTCTTGGGTGCAGATGCAGACCTGCTGCATATAAACCCTCTTTGTGGCCTTTTGTGTTTGTTCCTTCCCATGATAAAAATGTAAATGCATTACACTGAATATTTAACCTAGTTTTATATTATTTTCACTTACAAAAACTGGCATTTCTTTAGGGTTTTTTTTGTTGCCAGCAGTAAAGTACAGAAATCCCAAATAACCCTAAAGGTGTATTTTCACAGTTTGCTATAAATGTTTGTTTAATATGTCGCATGGTAAAGAAAATCACTTTCACCACTGAATTCACTATTTTCGAGTTACTGCCATGCTTCTGTCTATCACTAATCGTAAAAGTAGTTTAAGACCAGCTAGGTAAAGCTTGCAGGAATTCTCCAGGAGCCGCGTGTGCTTACCCCAGCCCGGGGCGGGGCGGGAGCCGTGTCTGGTTTCTCGTGTTGGCCTTTCTGGTTTGAACAGCGGAAACTGTTGGCACCCCTGGGTGGGAGAGGGAAACACGCTGACCCAGAGCAAGTGTCTGTAAGGAACGGGACAGAGCTGGAACCTTTTCGGGCAAGGCGAAACCTTGCAGAGAGCGAGCGCCTTAGGGGGTGCAGCAGAACGCCTGCGGGGAGGCGGCTCGAGGGTTGGACGCAGCCGCGAGGGGCCGGCGCCGCGGGCTGGTTCCCCCGAGCAGCGGAAAGGAGAATTAGAGCTGGAAAAGCTTGGAAGGAGAAGGGGAGCTGGGAGGTGGGCAGGGTGCGGGGTGAGGGAGGGGGGGGCCGGGAGCAGCGGCGAGGCTCGGGGCGGGAGAGCCCCCGGGCAGCGCGGGTCAGCCAGGGCTGCGTTGGCGCCGACGGCTTCCAGCTTCTCCCCCACTCGTACGCCCTCTGTACACTAGGAAGCATTACAATACTTATTTTGCTAAATGGTGTTTTATTGCAGGGTCGTAATTAAATGACTAATTGCTATATGTTTCAGTTCTTTAATGAATTCCCTCCGTTTATCTTGACCACATATGCAATGACTCTTAATTTCTAATTTTGTAGTTTGTTCTTTTAATTCTTTGTATTACAATATGAAATGTAGTCATGTATGGTATGGTTACACACTTTGGGGCAGAATAAAGTCCTGTATTTTTCTTTCTTTCTTGTATCATTAAGTTCTACTCACAAATAAAACTCTTTAAAAAAATGTATTTTCCTGCTCTGCTTTCACAACTCCTACTCTTTTATTCTACAGCTCTAGCCTGCTGAATTGAATTAGCTCCATTTTCTTTTAATGATTAATGGGCTGAGTATTTTCTGAGAATACATTAAAGCAATTATTGCTCAATTGGCTACTGTGGGGCTCCCAGTGGCACAGGAGCCAGAACCTGGGGTGCTTTTTCCCCTCCCCTTGTGCCTGGGAGTCGCACCGTGGGCGCTGGAGTGGTTGGCACCTCCGAGGTGGCTTTTGGGGGGAGGTCAGGACCCACTCTGGCTTCCCCAAACAGCCACAGGTGGTTGGGAGGGGTGGAAGATCTTAAGTGGGATTAACTGACTAGACACGTGTACATTCTAATAGTTTATTTGTAATGCAAAAAGAACAGTGCTTGGTCCTCAAAACCTGCGACAAGGCATTAGAAATATAAAACATATCTCAGTTTAGTTGCATATTAAAAACAGTCCACCTGTGCCAAGGTAGCAGTCAGGCTGAGGCGACCTCGCTTTTCTTGGTGATCATCGTGTTTTAAGGCGGTTGGTACAGCTGTCACCAGGCTCACTGCGCATTTGTGGAAGATCTGGTGACGACTGTGTAAAGGTCTGGGTGGGAGCCGCCTCCGGGCCGGGTCCTGGGCTGGCCCCGAGGGCAGCGCGTGGCCGTGGGCTGGGATTGCACCGTGCTGTGCTGTCACACCACGGCTGAGGAGCTCGGTGCTTTACTCAACTGTTTTGCCAAGAATCAGGTCATGTAGAGGCCCAGGGGAAGTGCTGGGGTTAACTACTCCTCCTTGGTCTGCTGTTTTATGGAGCCAAGTAAAATGAAGGGGATGAGGAACAAAGCTCCACAGACGGTGAAGCAAACCTCTGCCCCTGCCAGCCAGTAAACTGCAAAGGAAAGAACATTTAGCTCGTTAGCGTGCTTGTCCTTCCCCTCTGTAAACTGGCCCTCAAAGCTGCTGCTCTCAACAACTCACACCGGGAGAACACGCAACTACTGAACCTTTCACTGCACCTCCTTGCTGGCACCCAAGTTACAAAGCAGGGGTGGCTAACAGCAGGGCCGGGTCCCTTCCGAGGAAGCAGCACGTTAGACGTGGTTATTTTCACTAGGGCGGGCTCATTCTCACTACAGCAGCACGCCTATTTGCTCTCAGCTTTTAACGGCAACTGTTTAATGCTCTGCCCCGGCAGCACCTCTGGGAAACAGCTCCTGGCTTTGCTCAGCCTTAACATCAGGTGGCCGAGGTCAAGCTCCAGCCCGCTGTGTGGCTGCTTCCCCTTATTCTGTCCCTTTTTACCCCAAAGGGGCTTGGGGAACCGAACCCCATACAGGGGGTACCTGTGCCGGGTTTGCCCCTGGGCCAGGCCCACCAGCACTGCCCCGGGCCTGAGCGCCGGGGCAGCAGTGGCCTGGGGACTCTCTGGGTTACAGATGCTTTTAATGCTGCAGGGTTCTTTATTGCCCATCACAGACTGCCCCTACTTCACTTGTATTATCTTGAGCTGCAGCCTCATGAGATGGGGGGAACCGGTTACGGCAGCCCAGGAAACCTGGATTTCACTGACTCCCACCCACCCCGTGCCCAGGTGGCCCCTCAGCGGGCGCCGCTGCAACCGCTGCAACCGCTGCAACCGCTGCAACCGCGCCCCGGGAAGGGAAGGGCTCCCGCGCTGCACACCGGGGCCAGGCCCGGGGGGTGCTCCTCTGCCCGCACAGCTACGCCCAGGGCTGGCTTAGTTCGACGCTCCTGCTGGAGTTTTTAAAGAGCTGGGCAATACCTGCTGCTATCTAGTTTATCTCTGCTTGTATCAACTTTTTAAATTCATTTTTGAGGCTCTCGCTGGTGCTACCATGGACCGTATTCTGCCCCCGGTGCAGCTCTCGGGGGTATCACTTCTGCCAAAACAACTTCTGGCTCTGAAACATGCTGCGCTTCCCTTTCTGCTTTTCCTCCGGACGCACCCGGGCCGCGGGGGCCCCGGGGACGCTGGGTGGTGGCAGAGCAGGAAGGAGCACGAGGCCACGCTCACCTGTAGCTGCCAGGATCGGTCCCAGGGCTCTGGCGAGGGCACCCAGGCTCCGCAGGATGCCCATCACTCGTCCCTTCTGGCCGGCGGAGCCTGTGCAAGCAGAGCGCTGTTACTCAGGGCGGAGGTTTTGCTGGGGGCAGGGAGCGTGGGCAGGGCAGGGCACTGCTGTACCTCCTGGAGCCTTGCTCTTCTCCAGGTATTTCTCACGTGCCTCTCCCCCTCCTTTCAGTTCACACTCACTGCCCAAGCTGCGCTGATTCCCCCTCCACCAGGATAAACCCCACTGCCGCACTGCCAAAGCCCCAGGGCTTGTCAAGAGTGCTTGGCCATGGACAAGGGCGGTGTGCCGCCCCCCCCAACAGCAACAAAAAGTTTTACAGTTGCTGAGGAGTTAGAGGTGTACAGTAAGCACAGAACTATGGATGCGAGTTAAATATGAGCAACATGAAAGCCACGTCAAGGAGCAAAGCCTCAGTTTTTCCCCCCAGCGAGCACTGTAGTGCTGGCAACCACCTGAACCAACGCTAACGATAGACCCGTGTCACCCCCAGGTGGCAACACAGCTGCCTCTGCTTTGCAGGGTTACGTAGCAACCAGTGCCACAAACCCAGAATGTTTCAGAAGGTTCCTTAGAAGGTTTTTTCTAAGGAATCAGGCAAAAATGCTTTTAGCAATGGCTGGTGCCTCTTTCAGAGAACCCAGGCCATTCCCTGCTCAGTGCTGTTTGTGGCCTTTGCCCATGATATATATTCTTTGCCAACCTTTCCTCATCTTCTTAATCAGAACCAGAAATAAGGCTGCTTCAAGTTTGCCCATCACATTGGAACAAGTACAAAATTAAAGCGTGATACTGGTGGTCACTCTGAACAGCTCGTCGCCGTTTGTTAGCTCTGAAATGATCCACCCTGGAGCACTGACAGTTTTCAGAACCAGCTACAAGTCAGTTTGGGGTTTTCCTGTGCTCCCTTGCAGGATGTTTCTGAACTTCCCAGGGTCAGGATATTGTCTTCCTAACCCCAGCAGCCCCCCTTGGCGCCCCTCCCACGGGGGATGCTCTCAGAAGGGAAGGGTGGAGGGCCGTGGCATCCCCAGCGCAAGGCAGCCGGTCTGCTGCCCCCCGCAAAGCGCGCGGCGCCGGGGGGAGGGCAGCCGAGGAGCGGGGGCTGCGCCGGGAAGGGGGTTGGTGCTTCAGGGCTACGCGCCTACAACGTGGAGCAGCAGTTTGCTGTAACACTTTGCATTAACAAGGAAAGCAGAAATGCTTCTGGGGGAAAGAGGTCTTTTATAAAGCCGAGCAGCAGCCAGTCACCGGCCCAACAATCAGATCTGAGGGGGACCTACGCCATGAGTGCTCCCACTGATGCACCACGAAACCTGAGGTCAATTCTGTATCTGAGCCAAGTCTGTACAAAGGTCAATTATGTGGTCAAGGGTTGCCACTCAAAGCAGGAAAGACACTCACCATAGCCTGACACCACCGCTGACAAACACGGGATAACAATGGCCGCAGCTGGAAAAATCCACAAAAGAGACTGTCAACGAACAGCAGAGAGCTGGAAACATTGCCAAAAGCAAGAGTGAAAAACATGTGGCCTAAACGCGTTACTAGTGCAGAGAAATATGCCGAGCTCTGGGGCACTGCACCAACAGTGAATCATCAGGTTTAATCCGGTTCAATAATGAAAACACCCCCTCAAAGTCAACCTGCTCGAAGAGCCCAGAGCCAGGAGTGCTCTGAGCAGATGTTTCACGTTAGTGTCTCTCATTCTGTGAGCCGCTGGGAAAGGGGTGGATAGTCAGATCAGCTAACTGGTCGTTTTCCAAATCGCTGTGGTCTTGTCAGGTGGAGCAGGGAAAGGGAATAGCTCATATTTCAAACAGACAACGAGGTGGCTGAACACAGAGTCACTGTCCCCACGCATACTGCTTTACCGTACTCGTGGATGAGGGAGGCAGCTCTGTTCTGTCTTGGGAAATAACACGTTCAAGTCCAAGAAGAGGTTACAAAATTTTTGGACACAAAAGCCAAGAGCTGTTCAACAATCGTTGCCCTCTTACTGAAACAGGGGCCTCTTCTGCCAAGAAGGAAGTGCCTTAAGCACACAAAGAAGAATCTTTTCTGGGAGGGAAAGGACAATTGGGGAGCAGGAACGATAGACATGTTGCCTTAACTGCAGGCGCCCTAACTCCTGGGGCAGAGGGAGGAAGAGAGGGATAAAAGACGTCTCTCCAGACGCACTTCTGGCTGGCTTAACCGGGGAAGAGATGGGGTCTTGTGCCCAGGGATGGAGCCTAGGAAGAGGAGGCACCTGACTCAGAAGCACAGTTAGATAAAATGAATACCTCCTCTCACCCCCCCTCCTCACCCAGTGGGCTTTCAAAAGCAAGTTAATCTGAAGATAAAATGCAGATTTTGAAACCCGTCAAACACACAGCTGTCCCTTGACAAGCAAGCTACTAAATAGATGCATTTTGTGGTTTACAGTTCACTCTTGAATCAAGCTGTATCATGCAAAAGAGAAGTCTTCTACTTATGTAATTAGTCATATCTGAAGCTTCTTAACAACAGTTAGCAGCATTGGGAATACCTGAAATCTCTTTTCAGATGGGCACTTCAGTAGATTAATCCAACTTCATTCATGAATGTTTCCTGAGTAACACCTTAGATTGGCAGACTATTACTCATGTAAACATTTAACAGTCCTGGAAAACCATCTGCACTTCTCCGAAACGACAGGTGGGGTTTTGCCCCCCCCCCCCCCCCCCCCCAGCGAGCGGCTGGCAGCGCAGGAGAGCGGAGCACTGCCCGGCCAGGGCAGCACGGCCGCACCCGCGCTCGCGCCTTCAGCTTCAGAGCGCGCAGGCCCCTGCAGCCCGCTGCCTAGGGAATAATGCAGCCACCACAGAAATACACAGACATGCTGGCTCCCTTCTTTTCCCGAGCTGAGGTATTTAGTGACTATTTTGCTTCTAGGTGTGATAAGAAGGGGAAGAAACACCCTCAAGAGCTCTCCAGTGAGACAGGACAACGGGAGCACTGGGGATGCTTCCAAATATCACCACGGCAACTTCCTGTGATATAAACAGCACCAGAGAAAAAAGGGACACAACTTCTTCCGTATTTTATAAATGGAAATGTCAGCTTTCTGTTACTTATGGTTTGAAATTAGAAGTGCATCTTTTTTAACAGGGTGAATAAATACATGAAGAAAAATTATTTGTGCTTAGCTTTCAGTGTATTTTGAACAGCTCACCGAAGGAGTACAGCAAGAGTCCAAGGCTCAGCATGGTCACATTTGCAGCCCATCCAATTAACAAGAAAGCCGGAATCAGCAACATAATAGCCTGCAAAATGAATGAGTCAGAGAGTCACATTTAAGCCCTGCTTGTTAAAGCCTAACTCTAGGTGTCCTGCCAGTTCTCTTCCGCTGATGGGACTACATTTAAGTTAGAAGCAGAAAGCCCTTTCTTCCCAAGCAGACATTTCAAATTCACCTGGATGGCCACACAGCAGCACGATTTACTTTCCTGTTCTCTCTCACCAATTATCACATGGACTGCAGAGCACACGCAGGCTGGAGTCACCCGTAACACGGGCTGTAGTTCTCCTACCACCTATTATTTCCCACAACTGAGAAAAAGAGGATTTTTGCAGCGTTCTCTCTCTCACATGATCTACTGGCTTTTGGTGATTTTTCCTCTTGTTCTGTGTTGAACTGGACAGAAATCTAGCTTTAACTCTTTATCTCCGGAGCTGGCACAAGGGATCAAAAAGCTTGCATGAAACAGGACTACAGCTCCTCTGCTTTTTGTCAGCAGTATTGACTAATTTTATCTTCAGCTTTCAGAGTCCATACTTCTGAAGCCAAGAAGAAAAAATGTGCGTGTGTGTCCATGTCAGGGGGGTCAGGGAAGGACATCTGAAATTCAAACCCCAAAAGAAAAAACATTCATCTCCTCCAATAGCCTGGACTTCAGTTTCCCTGTGAAGTCCCCCTTGCCTACAGAGCTTTCACAGAAAAGACAGATCAGTTACGATCTGCTGCATGTTTCATAAAAGAGGGAATTCACTCTGACCAAATGTCTCACTTTGAGGATTCAGTTATGAATGAGCCACTGTAATCACTGTGCTGAGAGAGGCCACATCGGCCATATGATCCAGATTCACAAATGGCCAGAATAACTTCAGCAAAAGGGGGAACTCCCACAAAAGCCACTCAAGCCACACACAGCCACAGAAAGAGTGCCCCGGGGGCAGCAGGTTTCTGCACTGTGCCCACGGCCAATGACGAGAAGCCATCAGTCCACACCAACTAAATCTAAGTGGCTATTTCAAGGTAACTGCACTTCTCAGTGCAGGGAACAGGAAGGAGTATAAAAATTAGTGGAGTAAACCACAAGTTTGCATAAACTGCAGTGCAGTGACAGCAAACACAGCAGGCTGGCAGAGCACAGGGAAGCTGATGCAGAGGGTAAAGTGGCACTAACACAGCAGTGTGAGTTTTCATGCACAGGGAAATGCATCCTGTGTGACACAACAAGCTGCCATAACTTTCACCTGTCAGGGAGCAGGGTGGAGATTGTTTCACCAGCAGAAATAACTTGAAGAAAAGATGAGTCAATTCACTGGAATGCAGTGGAGTTTGGTAATCTTTTTTACCCTGCCACCGTTGAAATCACACTGGCCTCAAAATAATGTATATTACACTGATGGAGGCTTTAACAGTCCAAGCATACCTACTACCAAGCAGGCAACAAAAGTTCAGGAACACTTGAAACCTGCTTTGTTTAGTTCCATGTACAAATGGAAATGACAAAACATATATACTTGTCCCACAGCTGTATAAGCTGCAGGGAACTGCTCCCTGTCACCCCAGTACAGCAGCAGCAGCATCCCTAGGAAGAAGGAAGCAAGTAAAACAAAGAAATACACACTTTTGTCAGTGAAACTTCAGTCTGAGCCTTGGTACATGCTATTGTTACATGTAACACAGATGAACACAAAATCAGAGGAAGAATCTACTTCCCCCTGCCCACCAGTGAAATACATGCTAGAGAAAGCCTGTCAAGCAGAGAGATGGCCAGACTGATGATGTCCCTGAAAACGATTTGCCAGAGTCAGAGATGAGCTCTGAAGCAGCTTTAGTAGTTTCAATGTCTGCACTGCAAGAGTCACTGAAACAAAGCACAACTTTCACAGCATTCTACCTAGCTTGCACAGATGGACACTCTTCTCATTCCCTACTGCAGTTACATATGAAGAACTCAAAGTTTCAATATCCTCATAGCTGATACGGTAAGAAATGGCTCTAATGTTCCAAAGTTTAGTTAGACTGGTAAGTGCCCAACAACCCGGGACTTCAGAAGTCATTTAGCTGGACTAATGAGACAGAATATTTTTTTTTATTTGACAAGTGCAGTTATAGCCTTCAACTACCTTTTGTTGCACTTTAGACTGAAAAGTAACATACCAGATTTGTGGGGGGAAAAGAAAAAAAAAATATATTTTTTTTTTTACCTTTTTTACAGCTCTGATTTCATTTCCTGGCTTGATTCGTCGAGCATAGCCTCCCTGGATCACAGCCATTGTTATTCCAATAAAGAAAAACATCTTGCCCTGCTGCATGCTAGAAGGGAGGCAAAACCACAGATTATATGGAGTCACGCACAGAGCATTCCACCCTGCAATTCACAAGTCCAGTATAGACCCCTTCCTGAACAAGAGAGAGAAAATGCTTTTTGGTGTTTGCATGAGCAGTGCAAAGTTCTTAATACGCTGACATTAGCTTCCACAGCAGGCAGACAGCAAGACAAACCTCTGAGGTCTTGGCGTAGAGATGGGACAGCTGCTGGCAAATGCTGCAATTGTCTCTAGGCTGCTGTGATGTACTTTAGTTGTTTCTAGGATGGCTCACAGGGAGTCGGCATGCTAGTTATCCTGTGCCATACTGTGAAAGATGACTTGTAACTCCCCGAAACAGGGGCTGAGAAAAGGAACGAGAGAAAGAGATAAGGGATGGAGGGGAGCAGAGGCCCTCCGAGCCAAGGAATGCCTCAAAGACTTGCAAGTAACAAAACTATAGTCACAGGGTGAATAATGTGGAGGCTGGAGCTGCTAAGGCTGCCCAGATAGCCCAGGGTACAGCTGGGGGGCCCCTGTGCAGGCAGGACAGCTCTGCTCTGGTGCACCTTGCAAAGTTTCAAGGGCTGTCTGTCTGGTGAATGACCTTTACTTCATTATCCATGAAATACATATTAAAGTTGACACACTTGAGTAAGCTTATGAAGATTAATGAGATCATGCTAATTACATCATCCCATAAAGCACCTTACTCCTCCCCATACAAGTGCTATGTAGGTATGTGGGTTGACCTCAGGGTTGGACCCAAGGAAAGGGTGTATAAATTGAGGGGGGGTGAGGAGTGAAAGCAAGCAAACAAGAGATAGAAAGAAGCAAGCAAGCAATCGATAGAAAGAAAAATAGAACACATGAAGAAGTGAAGATGACAGATGCATCCCTGACGAATTCAGACAAGACCAACGCAGGACCCCGGACTGGTGATCTCTATTTCTCTATTCTCCTCTCTCCTTTTCTTTTTCCCCTTTTCCCTTATTACCATTAAGTAACACAAAGCATATTATATTCCTTGCCATAATTACTTAGCTAATTATTATGTATCCAACTAATATACTGTGGGAACTTCATAAATGTCTGTGCATGGACTTTGACTTGTCTCACTGTTGTCCACTCTGCTGGGGATTTATGAATCTAAAAGTCACTTGTCTCCCTCATCTGAGCAGGATGTGATTCATATGCACAGGAGTTGTTGGTTTCCAAGGATCAAGTGTTTCGTTTTCTCACAACCACTTGTCCAGAGTTTGATTAAGGTCACCAAGGCACAAGAGAGGCACTGGCATGGTGGTGATCACGTCCGGCACCAAGAAGTGTGCAACATCACTCCTTCCACCCTTAAATATTTCTTCAGATTTCCTTTTCACCTCTTTTACCTACTAGACTATGTGGGTATTCTCAACTAAAAGTTCTCACCTCCATAACAAGCTTGTTTGTCACACAGCCTGTACTGTCAGCACAAAGTTGTACACCTCACTACATGGCTATCCTGAAAGGACTGTGCAGAAGCAACCTTAATACACTAGGAAACCTCTCCTTGATGCACACATTAGTTAAGCCACAAACTGTAATGATAGGCAGACAGGGAAAGAGGAGATAACCCTCTGAGAATTATTGAAAGGGAGGGACACACATAAGGAATCAAGCTGCAAGATCATGTTCCTGGCTGAAAATCTTCCTATGAGCTGGCAGAAACGGTATGTCAAGCTGAGCTGCTGTTAGGGGATTCTGTTCTTTCTTCTCTAGAGTTTGACTGAAGAAAATCAAACTCTCTGATGTAGTGACTGTACACCGTATGCGATGCAGAACTCTGATAAGCAAATATAATCACATAGCTATCGCTCCACCCTTTGCCTTTTCTGAGCTTCAAGATAGTGAAGTTCAGTTCTTCTGATACTGAAGAACTATTCTGGGCAAGAAGAGAAAATGTTTTGTTATAATCAATACAGTGAGCCCAGCTACACTTATTTCAGGACTTTTAATTTAATCTTGTGTATCGATTTTCTCTAGTTATTAGAAGTTGTAGATTGAGTATTTCCTTTCATGATAAACAGTGTGCAAGAATTCTCATAAATTATTCCCACAAAGCCTAAGTATCACTAAATATGGTGGTTGCTTTCTGAGTGTACTAACCTCATAAAGCCTCTCTTGAAAAGAAATGAAGAGACCTTAAATCAAGATTTTGGAAAACATCCTAGACACAACAGACAACATTTATCTTCTAACTGTGTTATACCTGCTGAACTGGAATCTCTGGTGAGTGAGAAAACTCAGTGTATACTCCAAGCCGGAAAACAGGAAGAGGTACAGGAAATAAGCCAGGCCCAAGATTTTGAGATTCTGAAGATCTAAACAAACAAAAAAACAAACAAACACCAAGAGGAGGGGGTGGGGAGAGAGAGAAACATGGTGGTGTTTTACAAGCATATCTTGAGAATGTAACAATAGCAAAGCAACATTTATCAACTGTACAGGGAAAAGTTCTCACCTCTGATGCTCATTTTAAATATCCATACAAGACATGGCACAAAATGCCTTCTGCCCACTACGTTTTCTTTTATGAGGGGAGGAGAGCTAAAAAGACTAATCTCTTGCTGGGTCACCCTGGTCTCACTCACCCAGCCCAGCCCAGCCCTTCTGCCTCACACTCACACCCCCACCTGTATGGGGATTTATTGATTTATTTATTTTAATCAATACCTGTATTCCACCTAATACCTTGAGGCTGCTCTCAGGATGATATTGGCTAAAGCACAGCATCCCTTTTTCTAAGATACAAGTGGTCTGTGACAGACTACCTTACTTATTCTTCTACCAATGCAGGGTTTAACAGGTTTTCTCCAAATATCACTCTATTCCTGATGTAGGAGCAAGGAGGACTGAATGGTAAGTTGGTGTACCTGGCAAACACTGATTTATTTTCTATGGCTTAAATAACTGAATATAGAGAAATGGCCAGCTCAAATCCTACCTCTCCAAGTCCTGAATTGAGACATAAAATTCCAGTCTGAAGTTTTCTGGTTTGCAGCTTGAATAAGCAAACTCACATCTCCCTTACTCATGCCTGGATCTATCTTTTTAAATCACTTCACTTACTGCAGCCTACCCCATGTTGCAGCCAGTACCTGAAGAAAAAGCAAGTAGCAAGTCAGAAATCTTCAAAACACTAATCTCCAAAACCTTCTTTTCAGAACAAGAGGACCAACATTCAAGGGAACTTGCAATTCCCTGTTCATAAGTTAGTAAGGTGGGTTTTAAATGAGTGAACAGAGTGCTGCTTCTGAAATGGTTTAAGTTTTCACTTAGAAACCACTGCCACATACAAAAAGACATATAATATTCATATAAAAAGCCAGCTAATACCCACTTTCCTCTGAAGGGGATTCCTTTCCTCGGGTAACTGCAGAGAACTGAAATAAGGCCCAAGGACTGAGCAAGTCAACCGCTGCCTGAAATCCAGATGTCACAGAAGAGACCTGATCAGAGAAAGAAAAATTTATTTAAAAACCTGATGTAATAACTACTGCAAGGAACTGACAGTAACAGTCAAATGTGCTTCTACACTTACACAAATTATCTGAGATGAAACAAGGCAACTGACAATGGGGTCTGAGTGATCCCCAGCAGCAGCCCAGACCTTCTGAACACAGAACTGGCTCCAGCGCTATAACTAGAAGGTAGAACAATGACAGCAGCTTTCACTGAAGACAGAAAACAGATTCTTCTCTGGGTTCTTAAAAAGCAGAAGAGGATCATTCTCCACAGCCCTGAAGGTGGCTTTACTTGGCTCACCTTTTGTGTCACCCCTCATGCCCAATGAACATTTATTGGGAAAATAATGGCGCATCTGCCTGCAAACTCATGGGAAGCTGGAGATTTGCTTGTATTCTACAAGTCTGAGAACAGAATGTGTAGCACATCAAACAACACTCTGATTTGGTACTGGTTGTTCCTTTTAGCCAGCCAGTGATACCTCCTGGGGAAGAAAAGGAAAATATAATTTTTGAAGAGATCCTCTGGAGAGGTTTCAGAGAGATTTCTAGAGATTCTGCCCAGCCACATTGTGTGGCTTTTTAAAACGGAGTATTTATTTTGTAGCACTTCTGGTCCTTGTACTCTGTACAGCTTAACCTAATTATGTACCTAGTGGCACTCTCCCTGCACCTTATCAACAGGCACTTAGGAGATGCTTATTCTTTCGTCTACAGAGAATTTAATTCTTTAATTTATTTTTTATTCCAAGGTATAGAAAGTTAAAATACTAAAGAAGAAAATAGTGTCTGAATTCTTAAGGAAACAATTCCTTTTAAAGTAGGAAAATTTAGACTGTCATTCTGTATGACAGTCACTGGAAGAGATAAGACAGACTCAAGAATCCTGAATAATCACACTCAGTATATCACATCTTCAAAGCACTGCACAGACTTTATCTGATGAGCTCCCTTCTATTCCAAGCTGGGAAGGGAGGGAGAGCTATTACCCCCTTGAGGGCAGAGATTAAAGGTCAAATTATCAGTGGAACTTAATCGCAGTCAGTGCATGACCTGAGGATTCATATGGACTGGATTTAATAAAGCTGCAAACAGATGAACCTTCAATATGGTATTAACATGACTCCTGCCTTGTTTTGATAGTCAGAGCTTCTGAGTATCCGACAGCAGAGTTCTGGAGCCCACGCATCTTACAACAGCAACCAGTTCAATACACCAGGCCAGTTTTGTATAAAGCCATAAAGCTGCTGCTCCACACAGAACAAACTGGGATATTTATTTCCCCTTCCTCTGCATATATTGCAGAGAGTAAACAGACACTCCCAAAAAGAAGTTTCCTCATGCTTTTAAAAGGTTTGTAAAAGGATTTCCTGAAGCTGGCTTGTAGTAATCCTCAGTTTCTGTGTTTGTTGGCATGACAGTGTTTGTACCACAGCATAGAGAACTTGGTAACAAGCAACTCTCTTCAAGCATGTTTGCCAGTAATAAAAAAAAAAAATCTGTAGTTTGTATCCGTTTTGAATCATTATCCATGTCAGACAGGGTGCCAAGCTGCTTTGTACTACAAGGCTAATTTTAGTTTGGTTAGGAGAATATACATTATATGTGTATATGTTTTAAATCTTAAGTTTTATGAAATATATATACATATGTATTAGATATTTTTTAATACACATGTGTGCATATAAATTTATTTTAATTTCTCCTGTCTTTACCCTGGAAGCAGTCGTCTAGAAGTGACTCCATCCACTGACTGATAATGAAAACATTGTCCTAAAACTGAAAAAGTGTTTCACCACTCCCAAATAACCGAGTATACACTGCCAATTTCAGTCAATGCCACCAGCTGCACAGTTTAGATTCTTCACAGGTTAAAAATCCGCAAGATCTAACTTGTATTTAATTTCTATGCCTATGATTTATTACTCCAAAATTGCTCAAATTTATTTCATGATCACCTCAAAAGTCACCTTGAGTGGCAGACTGTTTTTACAGTGTCTCTGTTTACGGTTTTCCTCTAATGTAGAGAGACTAAGTAACACGTCTTTAAGGCACAGAGCCAGTCCGAATCAGGAATGCAGCCTGGGCCTTCCAAGCTCCAGCCTTCCCCTTCACATCAGACACTGCTTAGTATGCATGGAGCAAAAGCCTTGTTTTTCCACAGGTCAGCTAGTGATGCTGCATAGCCCTAGACATAGTCCTTACATGATTAGCTGGACACCAGGAAAAAAAATTTGTAAGACGCTCCCTCCAGCTAGGCAGCCTTGTTCATGACTAGCGTAGCTAAAAATTAACTCAAATGCTGTTAAAGGGGACAGATGCCACTAGAGACCTTTCTATTGCTCCTTTCTCCCAGGCAGGTCACAGCAGGAGCTGTTTTGGCCACCTCACAGAAGACCAGTGTCTCTGACAGATGAAAGGTACAATTCTTGGGTCACTCTTCTCCTGATACGCTTGTGGAAAAGTTGAAAGAAAGGGGAAGAAGAACAGCAAAAATTCTGTTCTCTTTGGATGAAAACTCATCCTTGTTCCCCCTTTGCCCTCCACTTTCCCCTTTCATTCATGTTGAAATTAACTTGTGGAATGTGAAATACTTCTTCTTTCCTGTGAAAAGACTGACAGAGAAACAAAAATATCATGAGAACACAGCATATTTCAAGGAAACAGATGTCTGATCCCACTGGTACATCCTCCTACCGGTTATCACTATCATTTCCTCTCTTTTTACAGCTTTGTCCTTCCAATGCATCCACTCCTATACTCTGGGAGCACCTGCTCCAGCTCAGGCCAGCCAAGTTCCAGAAGGGCAGCCAACGTATCTGCCTTTCCTCTGTCATCCACGGTCCAAGCAAACTGCTCCCCTCCCACTCCAAGTGGAAAACAGCAAAGCAGCCTAAGTGAAATTATAAAGACTCTGGAACACATAAATCACGTGGGGCCACTGCCCAGGTGCAGGCTGAAAGAAGACAGCACAAAAGCACCAGCAGCAATATGGATCACAAGAAGCTCCAATGCCAGACAACCCACAACTTCATCAGCAATCAAACACCCTGTGTATTTTGCAAGACTCAGACCTGATCCTGAGAGGTACCTATTAACCCACTTCACGCAATAGCCACTGCTGCACAGGCACACAGCCCCAAAAAGCAGGGACAGAGCACTCATTTTCTTCTCAAAATTCAGTCATGTTTGTTAACACAGACTAGTTTATCAGACGAACTCTCAAGAGGATAATAAAAGGGGGAGGGAGGTAGTCAGTCATCATACAGTCCTAGTAGCCACTGAAGCCATTTAACCCTCTACAGCAGAGGTGGAATTGTTTATAGAATACAGATTCGCTCTACAGCATCCCCCACATCAACATGTTGCCACCACCCCAGAGTGTGCAGCTCTAACCAAGAAGAGGATTTTATCCAGAATGTTTAGAAACAGCCAAATAGGAAAGAGGAACAGATGACACATGGAAGAGCTGTTAACAAAAAAAAAAAAAAAAAAAAAAAAAAAAAACCAACAAAAACTAAACTTTAATAGCTTTAGTGCGAGACACAACCTGCTGGGAAACACTCAGGGAAGGTCTAAAGTTTCACATCAGCAGGAACATTGCAGACAAGTTTCCTGAACAATTCTCAGTGTCAAATGGGTTTGGCTATCCAGAGACCAAGCACACTTCAAGGCTGAGTGCTGCAGATACCTAGGGCTAAATTCAGTCTCTTCTACACTACCAAAAGAGATTGCTCCAAGAGATCTTTAATTAGATGCATCTTAGTGTCTAATCACATAATATTAAATCATAAAGTTAACAGATGTTTGGCCTCACAAATCCAATCACTGAATTTTAGCACATATAGATATTTTGTATCTGTGGAAGACAGCACAGCTCAGAGATAACAGTCATTTGCTACTTCAGTGTTCAAAATAATCAAGCAAAGATTAAGAAAATTTCTAACATATACTGGCTAACTGAAATAAAATCCAGTCTCCGATGCATTTACTTTTATGATTAGCTGAAATTCATCCCCAGGGAGTCACTGTGATCATAGTTTAAAATTCACCCTCTTCCTCCTAGGTTCCCATTAGTTTTTGAGAAATTTAAACCTACACACCAAAACCAGCAATTAAGCAGACATGTTAACTATGAAGAATTTCTCATGTTACGCTGGGCAAGGAGGTGGGACCATCATACAACCACTTTGACACCAGCCTGATTAACAATATTAAATCCTAGTCCCAGGAATGAGCTAAATTCCTGAGATACTGGCTCAGTCCCTTCCTCATTGGGTCCAGTATTTCAACAGTTCTCAAATCCTGTTTTTGCAAGAAACACAGATCTTCAGACTGATACTCCATTTACCCGTTTTTCTTTGGGAAGTGTCTCCGGAAGTAGGAAGAAGATGAAAATTAAATCAGCCACAGCAAACACAAGTGCTAACAATGCTGAACGAAGGTAGAAGACTTCTCCTTTCTCTGCCTCCATGGCTAGGTAAGCTCCCATCATGGGACCCAGGGTAAAACCAAGGGAGAAAGCAACGCCAATCATTGCCTGCAGTGATACAATGAACACAGATATGTAGTTTTAGACACCAGTTTGTTCAGGTAGCTCAGTTTTAAAACAGTTTGGATTTCCTGGCATTTGCCTTAAGGAAATGCAACCAGATACAGACCTTAACCACCCTGAAGATGTAGGAAGTGCACAGCAAAGAGCATTAAGTGTGAAAAAACTGGTCTTTCCAAATAACTGATTGTATTTTCTGACCAGTAAGGAAAGTGGCAGGAACAAAATGCAATGTGGTTATGAGTGAAAGGAAGCTGGGAAGGGAAATAACAATTCTCACTTCAGGGACTGTTCAGCCAGATGATCCTTCAGCCATAGAATAAACTTTTGTAGCGTAAAACTGGAGAAGGGAGGACAGCACCGTGGTAGAAAATGGTACTGATGTTTATAGCTTCTAAAATGCTTTGGCAACTTCTGTATTTAGGAATTTATGTCTCATAGAGCAAACAGGCTGATAGGCTTCCCAGAAAAGCCTGAATTTAGTGCAAGTACTAAAGAGGATTTATGAACTCACTATGAAACCAGCACATATGAAAAGAGGTAGAATCAGTACTCACTTGTGGGAGCTTAAAAGAGCACTGATGTGAGTCATCGGCCTCAGTAAGAATGCTTAAGAATACAACAGTGCAGGATATGGCCCATTTTCCTTGAGACATTCAAAAATGTATATTCACATATGCAGGACCCAAACATGTGTCATCCCAGGACATGATCCTCCTGCTTTCCTGAGTCTATTTAACTATATCTATAGTACTAAACTAAGCAAGGCCAGGGCACACTCACAGGTGTCACTTCAGTCTCCAGTGTGGTTTCAGCCTGCCCAGCTAGCACTCTCCCAGGCAATGCCCCATTACTGTTTGGGAATAGCATCAGTCAGATGCTATTCTCTTCACAGAAAGCAGAATGAACATGCCTCCTCTGCTGTGGAAAAGAAGAGAGTATAAGCCATATGGGTGCAACCCATGCTGTATTTGCTCTCAGGCCCTAAAAGTCAACCCATTTTATTTACTAGTGCTGTACGGCTACCCCTCTCCATAAACAAAAATATATTTTGGCTCACCAAGACTATAATAAATTGCTTGGGAAATTCATTAGCTATCACTGTGAAATCTAAACCTTTCCCCTCCCAAGAAGCAGCTGTCCCACATACTGGCTTATAACAATCTGTTAAGAGAAGTTTGGGCCCCCAAGGTTTTTATAAGATAACAGATCTAACTGGTAATTCACAGGCAAAGTTCAGCCTGCAGGGTGCTTCCATCTGGTCCACTGCCTGCTGGAAGAGGGTAGGGCAGCTGTTCATACTACTTGCTGCTTAGTCAGCCAAATGCCACATCCTTTTCCCACTGAGCTCAGATCCTCAAGACAGTACAACATTCAAGGAAGTCAGGAGGCACACTGTGCAGTGCAGGGCAGTGCTGCTGTGCTTCCACAATTTGGGAAGGTGAGAAAAATGGGTTGTCCTGTAACTGGCTTCCAGCTACCAGAATTAGGCCATAAGACCTTTTGATTTCTCAGCTATTACAACGAGGATTACAGTTACCAGCAGGAGAAATAGTTGTAACACTTAGACAGGTAGTATTTCCACTTCTAGGGTATCTAGGGTATTCCACCTCTTCACTTGTAGGTAAAAGTCACTGACAAGTCTGACAGCTCATCAGCAAAATGATCTGGCATCTTTTCAGAAGCAAAGTAGTATATAAAGTCATGTTTCCACTTGATCAATGAATACACACCTGAGTAAGACATTCTGAGCACCTGAAATCAAGTAAAAGTTACCCAGTAAACTCAAACATATACCCCACATGTAACTCACCATGCCCTTGCTCCGTGCTTTTGGAGAGTGCAAGTCAGCAATTATAGCTGTGGAGAGGCTGACATTCCCTTTGCTTATTCCACCTACGATCCTGGAGAGAAGAAAAATGCCAAAAGTCCTAGAGGCAGCCCACAGCATGTATGATGTTATCAAGCCCATCTGCAGAAGCAAGAAAGGGTTCTTTATAAAAGCAGAGAAAAGTTGATATAATTTCTGCATATTTCCCAGCTAAACATTCAACAGCTGCTCCAAAACCCATGTATCAGAAATGTCTGAATATACTGATAATGCATTATGTCCTGGGCAGTCATATAAAAGAAGTAGAAACAAATCCATACAAACTTCATATAAATGTGAGATTACTAATAAAATCAGGAGAGCAAAGAAAGTTCAGAGGGAGCTAAATCAGTCCTGGGCACAAAACCACTTTTGTACATCCTGCTCCACTTGTTTCCAACTTCAAGAGAATTCTGATTTCAAAATAAAAAGAATTCACAGTTCTAGCCCTGGGATTTTATAATCAATCATAAGCACGTGTGTTTACTTCATTCACTCTCCAGAAGCCAACAGGATAAGGGGATATGTATATAATTTGCTGCCAAGTTCCTCCATGTGTGGATGCACTTGCTCTGCACTGCTTCTGTAATTAGAACCCTGTACCAGCAACAGAGAAAATGTTTTGGAGAACGTTCGTAAGAAATACATCTTACACTGCTATATAGCACTTCCTAACCAATAATCCCCAGGCTCTGTGAAATAGGTCATGAAGTGATCACTTGAGGAACTAAAACATATGGGGATTAAGTCCAACGTTTGTAAACAGAGCATCTGAAGTCATACTCCTGTACACAGGGGAAAGGGTTTTTGGAAAATCCCAGAAACAAATAGGTATTTTGGTGCCTTCTATGTACAATTATGGATCTGGGAAGTTCATCTTAAGCACTCACATTTGGAAGCGTGGCCAAGTGACTTGGCAAAAAGCAGTTGACAACCAGCAGACCTAGAATGTTCAATTTCCCAATTCTTTGTGCTAACCACAAGATCATGGTGCCCTCAACTGTGTATTGAGATGGCATGACTAAAATCTCATAAACTAGGAGACACATACCACTGTCATCAAGATGACAGGCCTTCTGCCCAAGCAGTCTGACACAGCACCAGTAAGGGGAGAGGAAAAAAACTGCAGGATGGAAAAGATAGAGCCAATCAGACCTAAAAAAAAAAACAAAAACAAAAACATGTCATTAGATTTGCTGCCTTCATTGTAAATTCAATACCTGTTCCAGACCTATCACTCTGTTATGTCCTTTAAAAGCCCACAATTAAATGTAAAACAACAGCTATAAAGAACAGCTTTATCTTTGAAACTAAGACACCCTCAAAACACCTATCTTGCATTGTCATTTAACTGAGGCAGCAAATACAGACAGACCAGAGTAACAGTAATAAATTGGGTAACTCACTGGTTACTTCACTGATGAGAACAGGTTTGAAACTCACTGGTTATAATGGAATGCTGATTCTCCAATGCTTCTCCAGCTGACTACATAAATTTTCTGTTCTTAAAGCAGAGATAATGCAGTCTTTAATAGTCACAGTTCTGTTAAGATTGTTTTGATTGTTTGAACCTGATTCTGTCACATTTAATTAGCTTTTCTTTCCTTCTTATCATGGAAAGAAGGACATAAGCACTGTGGTTAGTGAGGCACCGTAAGAGGTAGGAGTGATTCCAACAGACTCCAAGAGTCTTTTGAAATCTGCCTCCAGCTTCTGTGATCTTTAATTCCTCTTCTCTCTTGCCATTTCTAGCTTCACACACTTATTAATTTGCACCACCCTTTCAACAAGGAGGCAAAAAAATGCCTTGCTGTCACAGTTTTTCTCTAAAATAAAAACTGGGTTATACATCTCAGATTATTCAGTTATCAAAGCTTTAAAAGGCAGAGGAGAGACCAGAAGTTCTGCTCCTATCAACTTTGAGGGAGGCAGAATATTGATACTGAACACCTTGAGGAGAACAGCTGCTTGTGACAGCTCAAAAAACTGTAAAAAAACCCTTATAGATTGGTACACTGGTAGTGTATGTTAATGAGAGACAAGATTTTCTTCCTTGTATTTTTAGCACTGTACCAACATCCAGACATGCTAAGCACTTCAGAGCCAGGGAGCAGCAAGAGCAGGGCCGTTCCACATGGGGGAACAAGTCAGGAGCTGAGTGTGACCACAGCACTGGCAGTGCTCTCACCAACCAGGGTGCAGTCTCATGCAATCTGGACAGGCTGGGCAGAGCAGGGTGTCGCTCGCACAGTCCACCGACAGTCCCAGACAAGGCAAGGTTTATACATCCAGGGACTCCAGTCAAGACCAGCAGGAGACAGAGTCAGAGAAAAGACTGGAAGCAAGACTATGATGTAGGTCCATTCAGGAGATAAAACACCTGCAATGTAGGCCCATGGTCCATCCAAGACACCAGGCCAGAGACATTCCTGGAGATAAGGCTGTACTTATGATATAGCTCAGGCAAAGCCCAAGTCTGATCTGAAATACAGCTCCTGAATCACTGGGCAGAAAGTGTATGGGTGAAGGCTGGTCACTGCAACTAAGTATTGGTGCCCTCAGGGTCTTAAAAAGAGCAGCGAAGGTTTCTGCCTGGAACAGATTGCAGTCTAAGCAAAGAGGAAAGAGAGCGGAATATATCGTGCACTGGGAGAAGCAACAAGATGATCTTTCCAATCCTATCCTCGTTGCAGACGAAGATGGTGAAGGGATGAAAGCCACAGGAAAACTGTAGTGGCCTCTGCTTAACATTGCAAGTATAATGAACCTTTCCACTATAACCGTTTAAGCTGCAATCACACAAGATGGACCGAGACAGAAGCTGACTACAACTAATAGCTTGTCCATCCTCGCCTGCTTCTGCAGCCTTGGTCAACTCTCTAGAGAGCTAATTCAACTCAGTCTGGCAGAAGACTAATCTGGAAAAATCTAAAAGAAAAAAAAAAATTTCTGCTGGTTTAGCAAAATAGATGGCTCATTAAGAAAAGCTGTCAAAACCCACAGAACAGACTGAGTCAAATCTGACAGATACCAGGTTAATTTAGCCACCTTGTCTGCACCCTCACTACCTGTGGCTGTCAGGTAATTAGAGAACATTCCCACCACCACTCAAAACTGTTTATAAATACTTTTCTGTCAATAGTTTCCTCCTAGATTGAAAACTGCAAGTGATACCAACTTCTTTCTGAGACAGTGTCTCTTTTATTTGCATGTTCCCAGTTAGATGCTATGTTTTCTTCAAAGGGCAAAATAGTCAGCTGGACTCCTCTGAAAGAAGCCCGGAGATTTCTCCTTCCCCTTGAAAGCAACTAAGCCAAGTCAGGGAATACAGCACTCCCAAGAATACAGGACACAGCAGGTAGGAAAGGCAAGTTCAACACGACTGTGTGAGCTCCTAGCCATTTGTTTAAACAGAGAGAAGGAACAAGGAGGCAGCACGCAGTCAGGCCTTAGAGGAGACAGAAAGCAGTTTCTGAGGGATTAAGAAAAATGTTTCCTACCATTCAAAGCCAGTAATCTGACTGAAAATGATCACAGAAACAACAATGTGCCTGCAAGGACACTGTGGGAAAGAGGAAAATAGTTTATAAACTTTCTAATATCTGTTAAAGCCAAAAAAAATACTTTAAATAGTAACAATACAGTCACACTTGTATTCTAATAAAAGTTTTGCAGGTTTTTTTTTTTTTTTTTTTTAGTTTAAAAGCCTTTTGCTTATCTTGGGGGAGGTCTCAGCTCACTAAAAGGAGAAAGTCTAGACGTTTTCAATTACAGTTAACCTAGACACCCTCACATCATCACACTCTGAAACCCCACTTTCCTCGCAACTCTCTAGACCACAAGGAGGCAAAAGAGCCTCTGATGATTAACATGACATACATGCTGCTGGATTTCCTGCACTACTCCTGGTGGAGTTCACCCACACCGGAGTGTCCTAGTGACAGGAAATGCTTCTGGACCCTGCAAGTCAGGAGCTCTCCTGCTTTTAATAGGACTAATGAGATTCAGAAGCAGGGCTGCACTATAGCTGCCCAGCGGGGAGGTGAGACTTGAACTCAGAAGCTTCTAATTCCAGTCTTCCCTACTGATTGATCTCCAGTCACATGAGAAACAGTAGTTAAGGAAGAGTAATTTCTGTGACTGTGCAGGGTCTAGCACAGCAGGCTCCTGACCCTCAGCTGGCAGTCTGACAATAAGGAACAGCAGGCCTGTATTTCTGTAGCAATCTGTTGAACAAATTGGGCAAGCTCATAGGATAATTCAGGTTAAAAGAGACCTCTGGAGGTCACCTACTCCAACTGCCTGCTCATAGGGTCAGCTATGAGGTCAGAGCAGACCATTGAGGGTTTCATCCAGTTAGGGTTTGACAGCCTCCAAGGATGGAGACTACAAAATGTCCCTGGGCAACCTGTTCCTCTGGCCACCCTCACTGTGCAACAGTTCTTCCTTATTTCCAGTCTGAACCTCCTTTGCCTCTTCTTATGCTAGTTGCCTCTCCTCCTACCATGCACCACAGTGAAATGCTTCACTGTCTTCTCAAAAACCTCCCAGTAGGTACTAGAAGGGTGCTAACAGCCCCAGGCTGAAAAAGCCCAGGCTCCCCAGACCCTCTGTCTTCCCCGTCCCCTGCTGAGCTCGTTGCAGTTTATGGATGTCTGTCTTGTACTAGGGAGCCCAAACCGGATGCAATGTTCTAGATGTGGTCTAACGTGATGAGTAGAGGGGGATAATTGTTTCCCTCAACCTACAGGCTCTGCTTCTGTTCATACAGCTTGGGTGCTATTGGTGCTTTTGCTGCCAGGGCTGGCTCGGGCTCAGCTTGCTGCTTGTGAGGACCCCCAGGGCCTTTACAGCAGAGCTGCTCCTCACCAGTCAGCACCCAGTCTGTATCACTGCAAGTGACTACTCCCTCCAAGGGGCAGGACTTTGCATTTGTCCTTAATGAATTCCATAAGGTTCCTGTTGGTCCATTCCTCCTGTCTGTCTAGGTGTCTCCACGTGACAGAGATGGGGCTGTCCAACTCTTCATTGCTATCAGGGTGATGAAAACAAAATCGTTTATAGCCTACTGTAAGAGACACTTTCTGTGTTATTTAAATCTAGTAACAGGCAAGTAGGCTTTTGTATTTCTTGTAATTTTCCTCATTATTCCTCACATCAATACTGCAAATAACTTGAAAACAACACTTTTTTTTTGGTGTCTATTAGCTTGTTTGTTTAATTTCCATACCTCCAAACAAGACACTGTTGTATTTCCGTTCTGCAGGCATCCCAACCATCTCTGCAAACCAGTCCACTCCACGTTGCAATGACAAATAGAATCCATCCTGCAAAACAGGTAACTGGGAAATAGAAGCAGGAAGACAGTTTCTCTGTTTCATTTTCAAAGACAGCATCAGTGTGACGTCTAGTGACTAGAGCTCTAGTGACCTAGAGAAAATATTAGATGATTCCTTCCCTTCTGCTCCCTCCAAGGAAAATATCCTCACTGATCAATTGTCATAGGCTAAAAATGGCTTAAACTGTGAATGCTAATAGGCAGCAGACAATTGGGTGTATGTGTTTGGGTGGGGGACTGTCTGCATTTGAACTTTTTTAAACCATCAGGCCTGCTACTCACTAAATCCTGAACTAAACAAAAGTGGCATGTTCTTAATCCTTCAATTAATAAAGCAGCATGAGACACACTCTTTCCCCCCTGCATATAGACTAATTAGCCTGGGAGAACAAGGGGCTTGTAGGTCCAGAAAGAAGAGATGGTACAAAAAAAGAATGGTTCCTGAAAAAAAGGTGAAGATCTTGGCTATAGGAAATACACTGGAAGGTGGGTAAGATCCTGGAGATCAGAGCTCATAGTTAGGGTTAGAGGTAGGGTTGTAAGAAAGACAAAGCCTACAGCTGCAGTTGGAGTGGGGTAGGGAAGGGGCTATGAGATAGAGGTGTGGGCTGCAAAAGTAATTCTCCCCTGACAAGATCTTCATCTTGTCCGGTAACACCTGAGAGCGGTAACTGCGAGCAGCTGCACAGCAGGGCCCCCACACAACTTTGTGCCCTGTGCTCCCAGGCCAGCAGCCAGCTCCCTGCTAAGAATGGAAGTTGAGACCTAATGAACATGATGCTGGAGGTGGAAGCAAGTGAGTGTGTGAAATACTCAAGTAGGGTAAAAGCTCTTATCTCTTTGGTTCTTAGATAAACTCTAGTATGCAGATCCATTATGGACTGTCATTTACTCTGTCTCACCAGTGACATCAGTGTAAGCCACACATGCACTGGTAATTACAAGGACTAGCCCCTAAGAAATACCTGATTTTTTCCACAAAAAAATTCCTCATTTTAATGAAAAAGCAAGAGGGAAGAGTCTCATGCAAGTTCACAAACAAATTCAGTCCATGCACCATTTAAATGTGCTGGATATTATTATTCTGCCTACAGCTATTTGGTTTGCCTCAAGGAAAGGGATTTTTCTTCCATCCTTCCCTAAAGATCTCATACCTAAAATTTTCAGCAGGCTGACTTTATCTGTTACTTACCTCGGACTGGCTGTAATAATCAAGGATGGAAGGAAACAGTGGCAAGATGAGAGCGAATCCCAACAAGTCAATGAAGAGTGCCAGGAAGACAACTGTAATAACACGACTACAATTCTGTTCCTGCTTGTCATTGATGAAGCTGCTGCTGCTTTCCCTCTCTTGCAGGGCCATGTTCCCAGGTGCTCTACTTCTGAAAAATTACATATATATCCAGTCAACAGGAAGCTTTGCAAGCCATTCATAAGAGGATCTTGTTGATTTGTTCTTGCTTTATACAGACTTCACAAAAGTAAATATAAGCTATGGCTATATTAAGCTACCTGGTTTTTAAGGGAACAGGAACCTCAACTCTCTAGTCTCGGTTATTAGCTCAGCATCAAGTTTGCTTGCATCAAGAACAGGCTACAAGGGCAATAAGACAACCATATTATAGGAGCATCCCAAATAAAACACAGAACTAAGGAGCATTTAAAGTTTGTTAACATGTGAGCAATGCTAATACAACTTCCCCAAATGTTTTGAACTCAGCATTACAGTAAAATAAAGAAGAAAGGTCACTCTTGTTCTGAATATCCACATTCAAGTAACTAACATTATTTATGCCTTCAAGATTATTTACGCCTTGAATATATACTAAAAATTACTAAAGCAGTAACAAATTAAAAAGAAAATAAAAGGTAGACTTCCTAACTATTGCAGGAATGCTGTCTTCAAGATAAATCCTAGAGAGCAACAGCAACACAAAAAACAACACAACATTTTGAAACTTGAATTTTTTTTTTCTTTCTCTGGATGACAGTCACTGATAGATTATATCAATTGGGTTAAGGCAGCATTTTAGTTTGTCAGAAATATCAGAACTATTAACTTGCCTTGATAATACTCCAAAACTGTCTTAATGACCTAAACAAGGATGCAGGCCATATCCCATTCAGTACTTAACAAATAAATAAGTCAGTCCATATCCTGAAAAAATTCCATTTCAAGAGATATCAGAATCAAGGAGTAATACACAAACCATGAAACTGCAAACTTCAGATTTGTAAAACATTACAGTGTATCTATCTCAGTCATAAAATAACCAAATTTGCAGTCCCTTCTATTGCTAAAATCCCTGAACATTTGTTGCACTGAAAGAGTGAAAAAGAAACAGAATTTCACCCAACAAAGTCAATCAATACCAAAATATCCATTGACTTTGATGAGTCAAGATTGAAAACACTGAGCAATTTTTAATATATATTCCAGACAAGACATACCATATCACATATAAGGCACTTGTGCATGTAACATCACATTATACTGATTGAAGATCATAACACTTTGTTATGCTCAGCAATAAACATTATTGTGACATTTCTTTACCTGTGGATTCAGTTGGCTAGCACTGAAGCATTATTAAAGTTCAAATGCCATGAGGTAAACATGGAAGGGGGCCACCTGCAATCCATTTATTAAACTCTTGGCATATGTTCTTAAATCTGCTAGTGAATACAACAGTTTGGGTACATTCAGGATCCTTTTATTTAAAATGGTTAAACATCACCATAACAAATATTTAACATTCTTTGCTTACCCAAATTATATAAGAGCATCTGGAGCCAAAATAACCATTCCTTTAAACAAATCCTCCCTGGCCCTAGGTCTATTCAGCCAACAGTTGAGGGATGAGTTCATTGTGGCAGGTTCTATCTTGGTTTTCTTCACAATTTGTTTATTCATCCATTGAACTGTATGACCAAGCTGAACTTTATTCCAGGGTTATTTACACAGGGTAACATCCTTTACACCTTACCCTCACAGCAATTTCGGCTAGCAAGTAGCTTGAACCTATTGATGCTAGCACTGACCTTTCATTCAGTTCCACTCTGGGCTACGTGGTTGCAATTTCCCTTACGCAATAGCCTGAAGTACTACATGCTTCTGCCTTTGTGCTCCATCAGTTTTGCTGTCCAAACCTCTCCGTATTTTTTGCTAGGCAGGAAACCACCAAGCATTTTATAGGTCCTGGCGTCCCATCAGCAAAAACAAAACACTTCACCTCTACCATGACATCTGGTTTCTGTCAGACATGTTCGAAGAGGGGGGAGGATTTTCAGTTTAGGGAAGCTGTTTCTCTGGACACTTGTGTCCCTGACATTCGCTTGGCTCTCCCCAGCCACCCCTCAGGACTCTCCACCCGTGTCTCACCGCTCCTGCCTCCGAGCTCCGGCTAGCAAGGCCGAGGTTTGATGCTGTGTCTCCCAGGAAGGGACCAGCTGCGAAGCTGGCCCTGCCCTAACGCACAAACACAGATTTGTCATCTGCCCTCAGGAAGAATTTAATCTTTCTGATGTTTTCTTACCATCCCTTTCTCCCTCTGAAATTTCCTAGGCCCGGCTTTACCTGCCACGCATGGGGAAGGCTCCTCTGACTCCTTAGTAGTCCTGATTCAGGTCAAGAGCAGGAATTTCAATTGGGGGAAGGAAGGCCGGGAAAAAAAAAAAAAAAAAAAAAAAAAAAAAGTTGTGTGTGTGTGTGTGTGCAATTTCCCAGAACAGCCAAAGCCCAGAGGACAGAGGGCCGCCGAGCGGGGAAGGGTCGGCCCTAGAGAGATGTGATGTCCGCGGCGTGGACTCACCGTCCCGCCCGGCAAGACACCCTCCTCCGCCGCCTGGGCTGAGCCCCGGGGACCCGCAGCCCCGCGGAGCCGAGCCGCGCCCGTCCCCACGCCTGCGGCCGCCCTCCCCGCGACGCGGCCGGCAGAGCCCGCTCCGCGCCGGGCCCACCTACCGCTCCTCAGGGCCCACAGCCCTCCCGTGGGGATGCTGCGGGCGGCGGCAGCTCCCCTCCAGCCCTCCGCTGCGGCCTTCCTCTTCCGGGCGGGGATGGAGCCGGAGCCGCCGAGGAAGGAACCCGCCCGGCCGGCAGGCCTGGGGAGGAGGAGGAGAAGGAGGAGAAGGAGGAGGAGGAGGAGGAGGATGGCGTCGGGCCGGCGCGCTCCCCTCAGCGCGGCGGGAAGCCGCCGCCGCCGCTCGGGACTGAGGGCGCCGCGGGGCAGGGCCCGGCGGCCGGGGAGGACTCAAAACCCAGGCCGAGGGGAGTGCCTGGCCAAGACAGCCCCAGTCGTAGTAAATTAATAGTTTTAACCGCGTATGGCATACCTCAAACCACAGCCGTTCCTTCTTGCATTAGTGAAAACGCACTTGTTCCAAGCAGAGAAGGATGTTCTTTCGTTAGTTGCTACACAGCCATGTTACAGCAGCAAGTAGCTGTGGTTTTGATAAATGGAAATTTCCCGGTACTTGACAAACAGGAAAAGGTAACTGTAAAAGACATAACTGTTCCTAAAACAAACTGCTCCCTTAAAACAGCAAGTTTTTTAGCATAGAGAACACGAATAGATTTGATATCGATAGCACCATCTAGCATTGTTCTGTCCAGCAGTGTCTGGTGTCCAAGCTGCCTAAGTAAAATGGGAGTATATTGTTACAAGCTGACTTAGCACATGTATCTTCACAGTCTGAAATACATAAAGATCAGCCAACAAAGTGTTTAAAGCAATACAGGTGTTGGAAGGACTTCTGGTTCTCTTCAAGGTCACGCAGTCCCGTTAGTAGTATGGATGTAGTTATTAGCACTCAGATGAGGACCGTTCACTCAACAGTGACATCTCTGTCATGGATACCTCAACCGATTAGATTTGGACTTTATCTAAGAGTAACATCAGGATTAACATGCCAGTTAGACCAAGTAGTAAGCTGCTACTCTCACATTTACTGGAGTATCTTATGTACTCAGTATGCTGTGAGAAAAGGAATTTGGTAGATATGGTAGGTACTCTGAAAAACAATTACACAAGGATCACTGCTGACTTGGAGGGAAATTTCTGCTTTGAGGTGCTCCAAAGTAAGCATGAATAATCATTTAATGTCTGGAAAATATATGTAGATATATTCTTCTGGCTCTGAATCACTGTATATAACTTGCCAGGCATTTTTTTTTTTAAATTCTGAATTCAGATGCATTTAAAAAAAAAAAAAAAAAGAACAAAAACAAGATATGGCTTTTCCTGTTGTTAAACCTACCTGCATAAAGATTTTGCAGATCGCTGAGCCCAGCTGTGTTACTGCAGTCAACCATGTCATACAGTCCTGCACGTAGACACGCATCTCACCGTTTCTAGAACTAGGTAGGTCATTGCTCACCCCATTCCAGTGGAAGACCAACCCAAAACCTTGCAGGTCTGACAGGTAATAACTTAAATTTTTCAGATTACGTTTATTAACATTGACTTCTTTCTTCTTATTTCTGTTTTTTAGCTCAGGTAATGCCTCTTCCACTCTGGCTTTTACTTCTCTGCTCTATCGCTAAAAAGCACTAATATTAACCCAAACATTAATATTTTAAAGGATTTAATGCCATACAGCTACTGTGGTAGCTAGGTAATGGTAAAACTATCGGACCATACTAAGCTGACGCAAGACTAGGTAGTTCGGCTTTCCTAGTCATGCAAAATACTGTATGTTACGCACCACCATTAGTCCCAGGTTTATAATATTAAATCTGATTTTAAATATTGACAATACAATTTGTGAAAGTGCATGCAGTGACTTTTATTCAGCATGATTTCAAACACAACTACTTTCAGTCTGGCATTCTAGAACAGTTGTGTAAGTTTATCAACTGAGGTTTCCCTGTTCTTTATCTTTGCTCATCAGCATCGCAAGATATTCCTGTTCATTCTCTTGTCCTGAAAAACATCCTTTCCCACAAGCACTATCATCCCACCTTACTTGTGTCTCTTCTCTATTTCTTTCTTACTTCCCTTACTGAGGAATAACAAGCAGCTGCAAGTGGTATCAAAAATCACTGCCCCAGGATCAAAGTGCAGCTGTCAGCCTCTCTGTGATTCTAATACCCTGTTGGATAAATCCCCTGAAGCTACTTGCTGTTGGAAAAATAAAGTCAGATAAATAAACCATAATACTTCTTTGACAATTTATTTGTGCAAAGGAGAAACACACTGGGACAAAACCCTGAAAGTGCTGATTTATGGCATGAAATAGGAAGCTAGCTCCTTCCTCATTACTTCAGCCTTAAGTTCTTGCATTGAACTATATAAAAGGTTTTGGTTTTAAAGACTTTTTTATTTTAAGAAAAAAAATCCATACTGTGCCAAACAGAAATAAAACAGGAGGCATACTAATCTTCTGGGATCCCTCTGAAGTTTCAGAAGATGGCTTCACTGACTTCGGAAAGGTTAACTGAAAATATATTTGTTTTCAGAAGTGTGGATGGATTTCAAACACAGAAATCTTACTAATTCTTATGTAACATGAGTATCTCCCCCACACGTACTTAATATACAGCCTATTTTAACACTTAATACAACTGGATTTGCAAGCCAAAAAAGATGATGATAATCACACATTACTTGCATTGCTACAGTTGCACTGAGATTCAATAAAAGCCCCTTTCTTCAAATAAGGTGCTCTTCTAAGAAACATACATAGGTAAACCTTTAACTAGACTTACCTTACAAAGACAGTTTTGTCATTAGAGTTTAAATGTAAAGCCTAAGTGTTTCAACTCATCCCCTCCTAGTTGTAGTGCTGCTTCCAAGTCTCATTTGGGAAGAAAAAGAAAAAAAGCCAACAAAAACACACAGAACAAAGAAAACATTCTAAGCCATCAGACCTAACTGTTAAATCAGATTTACTGTCAGCCTTTAAATATTTCTTCATGATCAGTATGCCAAAACACAAGAGATGAGATCTAGGAACAGTGTTTGCAAATGGAAGAGGTTTTGGGGTTCTGTTTGTTTTTGTAAAGAACTATGGCCACTAGTTCATTCTTTATAGGATCTGCTTTACAGTTAGTTCTTCATACTGAAATTGGAGTGCTATTGTAAAATGAGATTTCATTTTCATGAGTTTTCCAAGAAAATATTATGATTTTCTTCAATGCATAACAAGTGTCACTGAACTTATCTAATAGGTAGATTACAGCGAATACATGAATAGTGAACCTCGTTCAGACTATCACCTTTAAGTAACTGTGATGCTCTTTGTCTCATTGCAATGTTTCTTCACAAATACAGTATTAAAAAAAAAAAAGTTTTAGAAATTGGGTCTATTTGAAGAGCAGATGTTTTCCAAAGTCATGCTGGGCAGTTATCAGTAGTTAGACACATATGATAAAATAAGTGGAAGAGTTAAGGATTTCACTGTCCACTTAAATCAGACAGTTATGAATACACTGAGGAATTCTAGTTAACCACGCTAGATTATTAAGGATTTTAGAGCTGTGCTCAATTCAAAACTTACTGAAGAGATGAATGGATGTACAACTTTAACAAAAGACTTCTACTTGAAAGCAAATTCCATTACTTCACTTAATACATGAATTAGAATGCCCCAATGTTAAAGGCTAATTAAAATGTTACTGCTTAAGTTGCAAATATACTACCACTATGAGAGCTGCCTGCAATTATTCAATATTTAAAAGGTAACAAATAGTTTCTGCTGTACATTTTTTGTGTGTGTGTATAGTTCAAGTTAGACTAAAAACCTGGTCACACACCTAAGAATTCTGATTATTCATCCAAATATTCTCTATTATTAAAATAAACACAGTATAACACATACAAAAATGTTATTTTTATTTTCCATATGAAAACCTGTGGATTTTTTCAGTAAGCAGGTTCACTTTTTCAGACAGATCTGATGATGTTGTCTCCTCAAAAGGAATGCATCCAAAGAATGCAATTAAAAGCTGTTCAAAAGCCACAGGACTGGGGTATTTTATATGGCAGTAAAACCAAAGTTTCCTGCTGTATGTAGTCCCAATTAATTCTTCCCTTTTTTCCTTTTCATTGCTTTCCATTCACCTTCCTGTGTAGCAAGGCTACCAAGAAGCTCTTTCACTTTTCTTTTTCTGGCTGAATCTCTGTAAAACAAGCAACCAACATATAAAATATTTCAGAAAGATTATATTAAGGAAAACAAGTAAGTATATTTACACAATAATTATTAATTTATAAAAAGCCCCCCAACTCTTAAATTTCATCAACACTTTAAATAAAAACATTCTGCATATTGTTAAACTAGAGAAATGAAACTGCAAAGCTGAAAACACATTAAATTATCTCTATTGAAAATGTCTGGATTTCCTCCCCAAATTGTCCAATTTTATTTATGTAAGTTTAGTATGGTTGATCATTAGTCAGTCTTGGCACACAACAGAACAACCCCAAACTGCTGCTGAAGCAAAGGCTACATTACCTCTCCATGATTTCTGAAAGTTGAATTCTAGCCAGAAACTGGTTATCTTTACGAATCTCACGAATGGCTCCTTTAAGTTCACGTTTATGTTTCTTAATCAACTGCTTTCTTTCTTGCTCCTTCTTGTTGCCTCCCTGCTTTCTTCCAAACTCTAAACTGAAATGAGAATGTATGCGTGAGCACAGAACACCTTAATAAAAAACATTTTAATGTTTATAAGGAGTTTTTTTATTAATACTAACTCGGTATTTTAATTCCTGCATATTGTATGATTAACTTGCAAAATAAGGAGCCAATGAACATACTGGAAAAACACTCACCAGATCTTTTAACTGCATGGCATGACAAGCAGACAACATTTACACTTCCATCCCCTATATGTCTGCATTTTGAACAGACTGAAAAAGCTAGAGTAGAAGAATGAAAGATGTCTGGAGGAAGATGGAATCTCCCAGTATATTTTAAGTTTCTTCTCACTTTCTCTGCAGATGAATTCTACAGAAAAAGTCTGATCAGTTACTTGGGGATAAATGTGTACATCAGAGGAAAGCTGTCCTCTTCAGCTACTAAAGTAAGTAAGGAAGACAATTTATGCCCCCTGCAGATAACCAACATGGCTGAGTAAGTCAGAACCCAATATAAAGCAGACTTCCTGAATCAGAATAATGTTCTATTATCTACAAAATCAAACTTATGTTATTAAAATTTAATTCCAAAACAGAATAT